GGCACACAGGCACGCAAACACGCAAACATACCGAGAAGGCCAGAGACACGCAAACACACAAACACCTAAACACCCAAACATGCGCACACAAACCAGCAAGCAAGCAAGCAAGCAAGCAAGCAAGCAAGCAAGCAAGCAAGCAAGCAAGCAAGCAAGCAAGCAAGCAAGCAAACAACAAACAAAAACACAAGCAAGCAAGCAAGCAAGCAAGCAAGCAAGCAAGCAAGCAAGCAAGCAAACAAAATAAACCAGCCAAACAAACAAACAAACAAACACGCAAAGAGAAAAGGCCAATTTCCCTCTCTGGGTGTGCCTGTGTGTCCGTGTCCGTGTGTCACAAAACCGATAATAAGAACTAGACTAGAGTACGCAAGGGGTCAACACGCCCAAACTATTGCTGAATGAAGCGTCATATATTTCTGCTATGGGGTTTGGAGGCTAAGTCTAAGGGTCTGCGGGGGAAGTCCTCGAAGCACGCAATCAAGCAACACATGAACAAGCCAGACGAGAAGCAGCGAGCCCGATCCGAGTGGAATTTGTCTTTTCCCTTCAGTTCAACCTCTGAGGACAAACTCCTTTAAGTGGATTTTGGTGTAAGTGCGTGTGTGGGTGGAGGGAAGAGTTGGCAGGTATGGGGCGGGTGAGCGGTTGTTTGTGTGTTCGTTTGTTTGCTTGCTTGTTAGTTTATGTTTGTTTTGTTTTGGTTTGCGGGGGCAAGATCAAGCATATCCCTCTCACGAAGCTTGTTTCCGCCCCGGGGGCTCCGAGTCGCCGCTCTTGTGCTCCGCTCGTCCCTGCCTGTGACTCCGAGCACGCGTGGACGGCGCAGGCCTTCTTGTGGCCCTGCTTCGTGAAGGTGAAGGTCATCCTAGGAGCTGCGCGGTTGCGGGGCGGCAATAAGGCAATGGGCAGGGGGGAAAGGCTGGGGATGGTGGCAGACCAAATTTTGCGTGCGCCTCGCACCTACGACTGGCTGGATGGCTCCAATTCTTGCAGCAACTCAGTGGTACGGGGTCTGGAAGCTGGGGCGGCTTGCTGCATGGATTTGTGAAAGGCCACCAGCCTGTCTGCCAATGGAGGGCATACCCAATGGACCGAACCACATCCAAAGCTGTTTCAGAATCCGAAGCACTTCCGCACAACATGGCAAGAGGCAAAACTATCGCCAACCATTTAATTTCAGCTGCCCCAACCTTGAGTGAGAGTTTGCAAGGCATACTTGCTTCGCAGCTCTCGTGGAGAATTCCCACATGCGAACTGTCCACATTCAATCCCTTTGTTTCGAGAATATTTCGAGAATAAGAGTATAACGCAGTGCGGCAAAGAGTCTTGTCCGTATACTTCTTGTTGGCCGTAACGCGCTGAATCTGGAGTACATCGTCAGCGCTGTCATCGAGGAAGCTGTAGGTTCCTAGGATGCGCAAGGACAGACAGGCTGTCTAGAGAGAGCCAAAAAGATATAGTGGCTGCTACCAGAACTGGTTCTTTCTGCAAAGAGGACATCCGCCCCGTATGGTCTATGACAATTATCTGCAATTCGATGGAATGTGATCAAGGCTGTGTCGGGTTTCCTCTATGTTCAATAAGGACACACCGAGACAACGAGATGTCGATGAGGCTTGTAAAATATACCACACACCGCCGTTACGAGGTGTATCCCAAAATTTTACGCCGTGCGAACCTGGCAACTCTAGGCAGAACACAACCACGCAACCACAACCTGACAATGAACGGCGCATGGAAAGCGCCAAGTTGGTTGAATGCTGGTCTTTGACCCCGCAGTCACGGCCAGCAGGTTGCAACTTGGACAGCGCTCATTGCGTCGGGCCTCCGCCATTGTGGGGGTCGTGCCAGCTGGCAGAGGTCACCCGGGCGCGGATCTCGTCGACAACATCTTTGCACCAAATCTTGGCCATGGTCTCCACCTCGCACGAGTCACAGATCCATGGCTGGTTGCCCATCTGCTTGTGTGGAACAAACACACCACCCAATGGTGCGAGTGCCCGAGGGCAATCTAGCTGCACTGTGGGTATGGTGCTTGAGCATGTGTCAAGCACAAGACTTCGACACTTTGGCCCTCGGAATAAGCACGATTTGACGAGACAAGGCAATGGCCAACCCAACGTCATCAAGAATTGAAGGCAACTATGCGAATCCAGCGCCCGCATCACTTAGAAATTGAAGCCCCACCAAATAGGCGCAATGGCTTCCGAGCCCTTCTCTGGCTCCAGACCTGTCCTACCTCGGGTGGCACCGTTTTTCTGCGGAGGCATGGATCCACGAGTCTGAGCCTCGGGCGACAGGCGCATGCGAGCGAAAGCATCCCGGCCACGTGTGGCTAAGGGGGCACAAAGGCGTGAAGACAGAGGACACAAAGAGGCAAAAACCGAAAAGCAAGAAAAGAACAAAAGACACTCTGAAAATGCAGAAAAGGCAAAGCAACACAAAGAATGGGCAAGGCAAAATGGTAAAGGCAGACAAGGCAAGACTGCCAAACAGGTCAAGAAGGACCAACACGGCAAACAAGGCAAACAGGGCGAAAGAGCAACAAGGACAATGAGCATCCCCTGGCCGGGATGCCAGGCTGCAACATCTTGTGTATGGTGCAGCCAAGCCGACAATCCAGACCTATGCGAAAGCAGCAAACCAACGGCTCCGAATCCCCCGGCTTGGCATTGGCTCCTATCCAAAACTTCAAATGCACGCACACATGCGCACGCAGGGGCCAAGGAAATCAAGGGAGTTGGCCTCCAATTGGCCCCAAGCCCAAGGCCCCGGCCGGGGCACTGCATGGCCGCCGCACCCAGTGACAAGAAGGCGAGGCGAAAAGCCATGGCTCCGCGCCGAACCACACCGACGGCCTTAAGTCTGTGGCTGGCCAGGCACTCCGAAACCGTTTGGTGGGGAAAGGGCAGCGACAGCGAAGGTGAAACCTGCCCCTGCAGGGCAAGACAAGGACCGACAAGTCTCAGCGGCAAGATGGAGATACTCATGCATACCGTTCCAATCAGCCACGGCTTCGTGTGGCTTCTGCGTAGGGTGCAGGGTGAGGGGCTCTCTCAATTCCCCTTGTGGAGTTTTAAACACCTTTGAGGCCCGAAGGTGAGTTTCCTTGTCTTTTAAGGACCTTATAGGGACCCCGCCTACATGACCTGTGGTTTTGAACTCCGGTGCATGAAAGCGGGCCGGGCCTCAACTTTGCCCCCACGCTTGCTTTAAGGGAGCTGGCGTTTGGCACTGCGGACGGTTCCCCTCCGGCCCCGGCTGCCTGTTCAAGACCGGGTCGAAGCACTCAGGTCGGCATTTGTCCTGCGCCAAGAAACCAGAGCCTCATGTCTGGCCCATCAGTTCAAGCCGGCCAAATCCTAGGCCCGAGGCCCATGCAGTGGTTGTCTCTGTTGGCGCTGTCTTAGCATAACAAAAAAAGGCACACAAGACCATAATGCCCCGAAAAACAACACATATGTTATAACTAGAAGACACCACAAGTCTCAGAGGCAAAGCTGGACCCTTGCCGGGGATGCTTCTCCCTCCTCGTTCATCCAGTGCTGCAACTCTTCGCCGAAGCCCCCAGCGAAGCGAGGCACGTCCACACCTCCCATCACATAGAACCTGTGAGAGAAGCACAGCCGTCCAATGACTGAAGATCCCTTGGACTTACAACCCCGTACAAATCTTCACAAGGTCCAGGCAGCTCCAGAGAAAACTGACCCTCGTGCCAACTACACTTGTGCCCACAAGGCTCTTGGCAACGCTGGAGTAGTTAAGCACCATCATCCGCATGCCATCTGCGGAGTGTGAGCGGTATACCACTCCACACATTGCCCGTGCACGAATTCCAGCCGCGTTGCATGGACTTGTCTTTGCTGCAAGGATTTTAAATCAAAGAGCGCCTTCTTGAAAAACACACCCTATGCACGCCCCCTGAGCCTTTCAGAGGCGGCATGCTTGCATTTTGCACCCGAACTAAGTCCAACAAACAGACTGGGCCAAATCCAGGGCCGGGTCCCGCGCTTTCGAAATCCAGCCACAATCTCGAGCCCGCCTCCCACCCGTGGAGGCGGTGGCGCAGGCACGGCGTGGCCTGAGGATGGGTGACGGCGCTTTGATCGGGGGAGGGGGGAGAGCATGAATACGCAGGCAAAGCGGAGGTGATAATGTCTGATTGGGCCCTATCTCTGGTGTTTCTGAGCAATCCTGATCACTGAAACTACTCAGAGTGGCAACGGGCTTCCCATCAACAAGGGAAGTCCCGTTGGATCCATGAGGCCCTAGATATGAATTCGCTCTAGCAAGCCTTGGGATGGCTTCCCGGGTCAAAAACTATCCGCTGAGGCGCCCGACATGCACATCGACGGCAGGGTCTCCCACTGTCCCGTCCTGGCAAAATGCAGCGGCCATTCTTCAGCGGATACCCGAAATTCTGACAAACCTGCCCTGTGACTGGAGCCGAATTATCATAGTCTGAGGTCGGGGTGAGGAGACAGCTTCCAGCGCACGAAAGGGAACACTGTACGTGTTAAGCAAGTTATCCTCAGTTATTTGCCTCACTGCTCCCAATTACATCAAATGGTAACCGGTCTCTATTGCCCTAGAGTCGGAGAACCTTGAAATATAGATCCCTCAGGAGGAAAGAGAAAAATAAAGAGAAAGAAAGACGAAGAGAAAGACAGAGCGAGGGATTGAAGCGCTCATTGCCCAGCGCTTACCTGAAACGTGCTTCATGATAGACTGCCTAATGTGTCCTAAAGTCAGCTTGATGGTTGTCCGAGGGATTGTTGCTTTGCGGAGGTAGCAAGAAAGAGGGCCCTTGCGAATGGTCTTTGCTTCTCCTGCCCCTTCCCCGGCCACATTTCCACATCATCGAAGCAATACCGCCGCTCAAACAGCAATCCAATTACCCATATCCCGGAAGGCTTCAAGTGTTCAAGTTCCAACATTGGATTCCTCTCCGTGATGGTACAAGGACTGGCAGCTGCGACTTGGGGCAGCTGCCAGACCCTGGCAAGTAGATTAAATGCATTTCGATAGGCAAAGGTTCTGGAGTATGGATTGCTTTGGAGGCTGCTTTCGCCTGACATCCACAACAGCTTGCAAACCAAATTGAAAAAACAACATGGGAATTCGGCATATCTACTGTAACATGTTGGGACTGTCTCCCGGCCAGCCTGGGGTTGAACCTCTCTGCAGAGTCCATGGCAATGCCGCAGCTGCCACCGCACACATAGATGAAGGGTGCCTCTGGCCGAGTCGCATGCGGAATACACCGGAAAAGTTAACATCCTCTGTGGGTGGCTAAGTTGCTAAGCTTGCTGGTTGCAACAATTCCCAGGCCTCTTGTGAGATCAAGGGCAAGATCTGCCGAAGCCTCGGTAACGCACAAATCGCCGTTCCAAACTCTTCGGACTGTGTCGGGCTTTGTCAATGCTACGGCCCGTTTAAGCGCCTCATCCAGTCCGAGGCAATTCCACTGGTGATCAGCGCGTGTGAAGTGAACACTGTGAACTGAAACCCAACTCGAATTCTTGGATACCCACGCTTGAGCTTGTGCTGCTTTCCATTCCAAGGAAGGCAAACAAAAGCCGTCCGAAAGTCTATGCTATGCAATCCAGGTATCAACAAGCCCGTTGATCCCAGTGGTCGTGGAAGTGGCACCAAAGATCTCTCAGGCTCTGGCGCTTCGCTGGCACAGCGGCACGTTTGACAGAGCCTTGGATGCATGCGCCAATGTGACAACGGCAGCCTGGGCAGGGCATCAACCCATAGATTCCTGTTTGATCTGCGTTGCTACCCAATGTCTCCCAATGTAGGACTGCGTCACCAAAACAAGTGCAAGTGGACGAAGAAAACGAAACACTTGCTAGTTCTTCTAGGCTAAACCACCCAAGCGGTAGCTGCTCTCAAGTGACAGACAGTAGCACGCTGGGGCTGATTGGTTCTGATTGGGCTTTCAAACCTAGAACTGCTTTTGCTGAACTCTATATATATATATATACTCTGCACATCGATACGCGGGACAGAGCGCGGGACAAAGTGCGGGACAAAGTGCCGGACAAAGCGCGGGACAAACTGCTGGACAAACAACTGTCCGGCAAGTTGAGCGGGGGGTTGTCCGGAAGGTTGTCCGGAGGGTTGTCCGCGCACTTTGCCGAGATTTATGCTGCAACCCCCCCCTCCCGCGAGAAGACTTCCCTCCGAGTGGTGAGCGGGTTCCGAGTGGTTTCCGAGCGGTTTCCGAGCGGTTTCCGAGTGGTTTCCGAGTGGCTTCCGAGTCGTTTTGGCGTGTTCCAAACCTGTCCGAAGACTTGTCCGGGGGCCCCGGGCTTTTGGGCCCTCAAAGCTGTCCGGAGGGTTGTTCGGGGGTTTGTCCGGGGAGTTGTCCCGCCGATTTTGTGCCCTCAAGGCTGTCCGGAGGGTTGTCCGGGGGTTTGTCCGGGGGGGTTGTCCGGGGTTTTAAGCCCGTTTGGACCCAAAATGTGAAAGCAGGTGTTTATGCAGAACCGCCTCTGTCAATATATATATATATATGTATATATATATATATGTATATATATATATATATATATATATATATTGTGGCCTTTGTAGTAAGTACAACCCAGTCACGCAAAATCTCACTAAGCGAGCGCAGGCAGCAAAATGCAGCAACATGTCACTTCACAGCACACGCGAAACATGGCTTGAAATCAGTGCTGCCCTTGAGGGTGGATGCTTACTAAAGGTGTCCCCGAGTTAGATGGCGTTAAATGATTACATGCCTACCCTCCCTCCAACAATCATAGAAGCTGACAGAAGGGTGTTGCAAGACTACATTTTTTTTGAAGAAGCCCCCTGTCCGCTTCCATGATGGCTGGAGGGAGGGTAGCTAGTGCTAGACTCTGTTGTACCAATTGTCTCGGCTGTCTGAGTGCACTGCTGGAAGGCCGCCGTGGCACCGCAGAGCTGGCCGATGCTCCGCAAGACCTGCGTCTGCGGAGCCATCCAGTTGAAGCACGACACAGTTTTACAAACGTCTCAAGGAGCAGAATGGGTCAACCAGAATGTTTTACACGAACCATGCCAGCAGTTTGGCAATCTTGCAGAGTTTGCAGTTTCGTTCAAGAGTGCAAGAGTATCGGCGATGTTGCCGCGTGCGGGCCAACATCAACTTGTCACTTGGCTTTGGCTTTGGCGGATGGTGCGCTGTAGCAGCAAGGGCCAACCATGAAGCCACCACTGGAAGAAGCAATGAAGTGGACAGGGTCTAAGTTCCAACAAACGGGTGCCTTTTGCTCAATTGCTAGTTCCCTGCCACGCCTCCTTCAACTGCATCACATGACATACCTCAGAACGGCAACATACTCTAACATGACTGCACACCTGCCTCAATTGGTGTATGAAACTGCACATCATAGGCAGCGTGGAGCCAACACGCGCCGCTGGTAGTCAGCAATAAACATTCAGGAGATTGGCGTGTGTCAGACACAATGAGGGATGCCCTCAACTGAGTCACAATCAAAACACGGTTTTAAAATTGTCTACCCAGAAGCATGCAAAGAACAAAGAAGGCGGCCGCAACTATTTCTGGCTGGGACTGCCCGTTACCTTCATCTACCAGGGTTTTGCTTGGGCTCATCTCTGGGTTTGCACCAACATTTAGGCTGCAGGCACAAGCCAGCGTCAACTAGAAGCAGTCCAACAGTATCATGCTACCAAACCACAAGTCAACCTAACATCCACTCAATTAAATTGCTCAGAACTGCCTTTAACACTCTCCAGACGTCGAGCTCGAGCAGTCTGCAAAGCGGAGCGAGCGCTGCTGCCATGCGGCCGGCTTCTCTTGGGATGGCTCCGTCCAGATGCGAAAGAGCCGCGAGAAGAGCCTCACGGCGATCGATCCATCAAGAGAGGCTGCCCGGAGCTTATGTGCCTTGAAACCTGGGAGAAACCAACAGGTTCACAGCGACATTGTAAAGGTCGGCCCACAAGCCCGTAAGCCAGGTCTTGTCATGGCACTGTCTACCCATGCTGCAGCTACAACTTCCAAGCTGAATCTGAGTGCACGTGCAGCACGAAGGCAACGCCAATGTCGCTCCACATCATGACAAAACAAAGCCACAAGGCACCACTCGCCCTCTGCCGTTCCGGGATGTTTTCGCGCGCGCTTCATTGGTTTTGCCTCTTGATGTCCTTCGCGAGGTCCTACAAGCGTCCCTGTCATGCCTGGAAGAGCCGGTTCTTGAGTTGCCAATGTACGGCAGCGCAAGAGGTCCCTGGGGACAATCCAAAGATCGAGTTGGTCCTCTCAGCCTATTAGCATGCCTCGTAGGTTTCAAAAAAGCAAGTCCTTTCAATGCGCACAATCTGCGTGATCTCTTCGGTAGATGGGTTTCCGTTCGCCAAGAAATCCCCGCGCTGAACCAGCATAGGCTCGTTCCAAGCGGACATGAACTTCCCCATGGAGAAGTGCTTCAAGACCTCGTCCAAGCCGCCTTGCTGAGGATAATTTGAAACGCTGGCCCAGCGCAAGGAAGTCGTTGATCGCACATTGTCCTTGCCAATTGCTGGCACGTTCATGTCACTCAAGAAACATTGAATGCCTAAGATTGTTTCTTTGACACCTCATAGGCTCAATGCCTTATTTTGCAGGTGACATGGTGGTACGCGCAATTGCGGATCACCCACAGGCACAGCGGCAGAGCGGCTGCGGGGCTTCAAGTCGTACACGCCGAAGAGACGCATCTTGATAAACACTCGCACCTTCTTTGGCAACATTCTCAGTCTCTAACTTCCCGTCCACGATTGTCCGCACCTTCTCGCCCTCCGCTGCTGGGCGGATGAAGGCCCTCTTGAACTTGCGATGCAGCTTACCCGATGGCTTCCCGCAGGTAAAATGGCTCGAGCACAAATATGTGTATATATATATATATGTGTGTATATATGTGTATATATATATACATATTATATCTCTCAGGCGTCAAAAGCATGATCCAACCAGACAAACCTTAAAGCTCTGCGAAGTGTCCAAATAACAGACAAAGACGTATTCTCGCTTGTCTAAGTGACTCAAAGTGTCTTGACACATGCGCACGCTTCCAGGCCCAGGAGCTCAGGGCCTGTGCACCAACCATGTTCTTAACGGTACGGCACGTCAAGTACCATCCTTGTCGTGAGAAATCTCCTGAATATGCAAGCAACCACGAGGTATACAACAAACACACACACTCACTCACTCACTCACTCACTCACACGCACACACGCACACACACTCACTCACACGCACGCACGCACGCACGCACGCACGCAACACGCAACTCAACCTAGATTGTGCACCAGCCCTAACTGTTTCGGATCACGCCGCTGGACCTTTATGCATCTGCCGTTTAACCCTCACCAGCAAGTGGCACTCATTTCGGCTCAAAGTGACGGCGCCTGGTTGATAGTCCCGACCGCATCTGCGCATTTTGAGCCTGACACAAGCAGACTCTCTCAACGGAAGGCCCCAGGTGACTCTTGGAATCACCCAAATGCTTGCTCTATGCTTAGCACAACCAAAAAAACATCTAAAACTGTTGTGGCCCACCATCATTCGTCAAACTGGCAGGCACTTCGAAGTTTACAGACTGGAAGCTGAACAAACAACTAGCTACCGAAACCCGCGCCACAACCACGTGTCGGGCAAGTATCAGCCAAGAACAAGCACATGGACTGGAAATGGATTGACACAAAGGTCACCAATTGCTCGCAACTTGAAAACATGTAGGCGCCTATGCGCAATACACACTTGGAAATGCAATGAGCGCAGGTTGATAGAACAGAACGCGAGCTAAAGTCACCGACAACATGTAATTTAGATTCCAGTATGTAAGGGTGAAAAATATGCAGCTGCCCCAATTTCAAGCCGAATATCATAGAAGCACCCCACTATGAACCAGGGGTTGCCCCATCCTTGGCTCTTGTCTCAAGTGTCTGGGTATTCCTCCTGCGGCGCAGCTTGTTTCTTTCTCATGAGCCTAACCACTCCAATCTAGTTCATTCCTACAGCATCAGCATCGGCTAGGCTGTGGCGCATTTGCGCACCACGTGTGACTTCCATGCGAATAAGCTCAAAGCGGCTCGACTACTTGAAAGAGAGGCACCATCAAAACCAGACAAAAACACACCCAGCGCTAGCATCAACCTGGTAACCCGTGTCACTAACAGTTCCAAAGCACACTAATAACGGGAGGACATCAGCATCAGTGTTCTTTGCGAATCTTCGGGGCTCGGCGGGAGAATTCCTGGAACCTTCAAGAGAAAAGCAACACAACCGTGTCAACCTTCCCAGCTCGATCTCCCGCAGCAAAGGAAACCTCCAATCAGTGCAAGAAACCACCGCTGGATATACGCAGAAATCCAACACTCTGCAGGGCACAGCACCCACCGTGCCTGTGAAGCTACAGCTACACTTTGGCAGCCTCGGGACGCATCCGGGGCCCATGATTGGCTGAAGCTAACTTGCGGGAAAGCCGATCAAACCCCGAAACTTCTCCAGACTCCACCAAAGCATCCTGTTGACACAGACAAGAAAAGAAGCAAATGGGGCGTGCCTTGTTTAGAAGCTGAGCAGTTGCTTTGGAGACACGCTGGCACGGCGACAACATTGTTTCTCAAAATTCGCAACATCCGGCTGAAGCAGGCATCACGTAAGAGCAGACCTCAAAGTCATGTTTCCCAAAAGTCGTCTCATGCAAATGCAGGAAAGGCTATCTGCCAGCAACAGCCGCGCTTGGCGCCATGGTCCCAACGGCACGCCCTCACCAGTTACAGTTACGAAGCTATCATCATGAATGCCGCAGCCTGGCATTGCCATTGCGTGTCTTTGGTCTCCTGTTTGCTTCAAGGTACTCTCTCGGGCACACAGCCCAGGTGTTGGTTTCTACCTGCAATCGTTGCCTCTCAGTCAGCCACCCTGGCCAAGGCACGCTCAGGTCACTTACTTGAGTCTCACAAAAAGTACGTGTGCAAGGACGCCAGCGCGACATGTAGTGCATTTGTGAACCGGTCGAGGCCATCAAGAAGCTTCCAAGAACTCTCACTTTGAAGGCACCCGCCATCCCGTGGCTCAGGCGCCTGCAACAAATTATCTCAATGGCAGTTTCCAGCGCCTGACTCCAGCAACCACGCTACATTTGGGCCAAAAATCCCACGGAACGGGAAAACACGGAAGGTGAAAGGCCAAAACTTGGAAAGTGTAGCAGAAATTGAACAACACGCAAAACATATCCATCCGAAAGCTGCAGGCTTAGGCGCCCGGGCTCGGCTCCTGCGATGGGGCAACGTCCTGAAAGCCGTGTTGGAAGTGGGTTCCATTTTCACAGTCCGGCAGTGGGTAGCGGAAGGATCTTCGAACCTCTGCAAGACCAATTCGGCAGCAATAGCAGGCATATCCCCGGAACCTCAGACGACTTGGAAGGTGCAAGCTCAAGAGCTGCGGGATTTGGAAACTTGGAAAACCCGGTCTCTCTGATACACAACATGAGCCTGGGCAGCCTGGGTGGTTCTGCCTCAAAGTGACTGACTTCTCATAAACTCGGTTGCTTTCTTCTGCCCTGCTAAAAGTTTAACTTTTAGTGGTTTAATGGAAAACCCATTAGTTGGCAAAAAGTTTTAAAGTCCTAACATCCAAGCAAAATGCACCAAAGTAAAGACGAGTCCCCAGTGTGCGTGCCATGCTTTTGGGCACATCCGAGTTTGCTGGCCTTTTGGTCCGACCGTGGTGGCCAACGCACCAGCTGCTTGGGAAGGAAGAAGACTACGCCCTCAACAAGAGAGGATCGCAGCAGCAGGTAGATTCATTTACTCAGCTATTCGTATGCAAAGAACACTTCCTGGCTTTGCTCGAAAAAAGTCTCGGTCCCCACTCTCCCATTGAATTCAGCCCTCCTTCTCACCGGCATGGTCGTGTGGCTCATCTGGCTCTTTGCCGTGGCCTGGAAGGGCAAGTCGGCGCACATGCGAAAATGAATGCCAGGGCTGAGACAATGCTGCTGTTAACAAAACGTAAGCTGCATCGCAATCTGGTTGTGAGCACGACTTGGATCACGGGCGGGTATTTTCGGCCCAGAGATGTTGGACAAGGAAGCCGCGGAATGCAAAAAGGTCGGAGTAAACATGACACAAGCAAGCTACAACGAAACAGAGACGGAGGAAACTGAGGAAACAAACACAACGGCAACCACACACAACGAGAGCGAGAGCGAAAGAAAGAGACAGAGGGAGAGAGAGAGAGACAGAAAGAGAAAGAGAGAGAGAGAGAGGGTGAGAGAGCCAGAGAGAGAGAGAGGGTGAGAGAGCCAGAGAGAGAGAGAGAGAGAGAGGGAGAGAGACAAACAGGGAGAGAGAAAGAAAGAAAGAAAGAAAGAAAGAAAGAAAGAAAGAAAGAAAGATAGAAAGAAAGAAAGAAAGAAAGAAAGAAAGAAAGAAAGATAGATAGAGCAAGGAAAGCAAGAAAGAAAGAATCAAAGAAAGAATCAATTAAAGAAAGGAGGCAAGGAAGAAAGAAAGACAGCACGCAGGACGGAAAGAAAGACAGACCGACAGACAGACGGAAAGATAAAAGAAAGAAAGAAAGAAAGAAAGAAAGAAAGAAAGGCAGACAGAGGGAGAGAGAGAGAGAGCACAGAAAGGCGGAGAGTCATAGACTGATAATCAATGAAATGCAAAGCAAAGGCGAGGCCCGAATGAAATACAAGAAGGACACCAACGGACATGAACCGCACGGAAATGTGAAAAGAAAGGACAACGTAGAAGGCCAGGAGGTAGAGGGACGAGAAAACACGATACAAAGAGACAACAGGAAGTCTCCTGGCATTGCCAAACCGAAACGCCTCGCTCACCTCCGCCAAAGGATCTCCGCTATGGAAAAATCAACATGCGACGAGAGCTGACGGAACGGCTGGCCTTCCGCACCTTTGGAGAAGAGCCTGGCGGTGCATGGGGCGAGGGACTGGAAGGCCCCAAGGCGAAAAGATCTCGTAGGCCCCAAGAAGGCAAACCAAGACCTTTCGGCCAGAACCGGACCGTACATTCGGTAAATTGCAACTACCGTGTTGAGCATAACATGACTAAGGTTGACATGGCAAAAGTGGGGAGGGTGACTTTGGCAGTTCGTGCTGGCGAAACAAAGCACTCCCTAAAGAAACAGGCCAAGTTGTTTCACAATCACTTGCAAGGACACATTCCTTAGAAGCGTTGAACACCAAGTTGGCTTTCCAAGGTTTGTTCCCCAGGTGCAAGAGCGACATTCGGAAAGGGCTCTTCGCCAGCTCCGTCCGCACCTCCCCACCCCCCCCTCTCCTTCCAAAGAGCCCCTGTAGAACCTGAGCCGCAGCAAGCTCCAAGTGAGCTCATGGCAAACACGGCACACCCTGGCAATCCTGTCATGTCAGTCCACTTCTTTTGTTGACATTGTTGAGATTGTAAGAGAGCAAGTCGTTTTGTGCAATTGGAAGGCCAAGCACAAAGGGTCTCAATGTGTACATGCTTAGGAAGCCGCTAGCACGAATCGCTCATGTAAGAATGATTACCCCTTGGATGTTTGATGGCAACGATTGTGTGCCTAGAAGTTCATGCTGCCAACTGTGTCCTCTTTCACAAGGGCTCGAGTTGCAAGTCGGGGCCACTTGGGACTCGCCTGTCTGGTGCCACTTTTACGGGGGATCCTCCAAAGGCCAAACTGGTTAACATGTTGTCAGCGCGGTCTTTCTGGTAAGGGATTGCTCAAGGCCGCGGCGGGACCGCCTTGCACATCAGCATGGGTCGGCCCCTGCACAATGGGGAAAAGCACGCGAATAGCCCAGACAGCAAGCGCTCATGATGGCGTGGTTGATGGCAGCACATGGAATGAGCTAGGGATGTGAAGCAAGCAAACAAGCAAGCAAACAAACCAACCAGCCCAGCCAAGCCAAACCAAACCGAAATAACTACAGTAACTGGCCACCAAACTAACGCACCGCTTGTGTCAGCCAGCCGTCCCGCTTGTGAAACTTAGCTGGCTGCCTTCAACATCTTGCAGTTTGCAGTCAAGGGCCTTGGAGATCTCGGCCCATCCAAAGCCCGCTCTACGACTCTACGGCCAGTGCCTGTGACATCAGCAAAAGAGAGCGGCATGCTGCCGACGCCTCAGTATCCCCCAAAAATGTCCCCGGAAGGGAGACAACAAGAAGACAAACGGAAAGGGCGGGCGGTTGCCCCATCAGTCCTTGCCGTGAGGTGGGTATCAATGATTGTATTGTTGCCTCATTCAGAAGCAATCGCGAATCTGAAAGCAAGAAGGAATCCTCTTGAAGATTCGCGCCTTTTGGGCTCATTGACTCGATCGCTAAAAACCTGACTCGAGTCAGAGATCGCCTCTCAGCCATCCGTTGGACCCGATGCTGCAGATTTCAAGCCAAGGCTCCGTGGAGGAGGTGGACGCAAAGTGCGTCATGGAACGAATGCCCACCAGGACCGCCAAGTGTCGGACCTGGAATCTCGCAAGGAAGGACAATGGAGCAGTTGTCGAAAGATACCACCTTGGAGCTTCATTTGAGGCAATCAGAATGCGGGAACGTCACTTGTCATTCTTGTACAAAAGGATTGCGTCGTCGCTTCTGCCCCAGCAGAACGCTCCTAAACCAGCACAGGCCAGATCGAGCACTCACCCACATGAGCTTAGCAACGATTTCACTTCGCACGACATCTGTGCGAGGCGAGGCTCCCTCCCTCCCCCTCCCTCCCTCCCTCCCTCCCTCCCTCCCTCCCTCCCTCCCTCCCTCCCTCCCTCCCTCCCTCCCTCCCTCCCCGACCCCGATCCCCCAGCTTGGGCTGTTCCCCCGAGCGAGCCGCCAGCGCCGGACTCCGCAGCACCCGGTGGAACTGCGAGGCCTGGAGACGCTGCGCGTGCTTCGCCAGCTCCGCCTCACCGACTCGAGCTGAGAGGTGGGGCCTCGTTGCCTCGTGGCCAGGGGTTCACGCCATGTGGGCTCAACGGCCTTACGCAAATGGAAATCTTGTCAAGACACAGGTCACTACTATGCGCCCTATATACAGTACTGAGGAGAAGTATCAAACTCCGAATTGGCATGTTGAGCCAAATCAAAAGCTCCTACCCATCAGCAACCGATGTGAGTCCTTTCTGGCATTCGACCTGCCAAAGCCAAATGCTCTCCCTCTCTCTCTCTTGTTGCTTGCCTGTGAATTCTCAAGCTCTGCCTGTTGAGCGCTAGAAAAAAAGGCTTTGTTTCTCCAAGTTACGCCAGAACACTGCCACTGCGGCACTGCGGCCGCTCCCAGCCTGCGTCAACAGCCCGGTGGCGCAGAGGCAGTCCTTGACGACACGAGGGGCGGTCACCGGAGGTGCTGGGGGCGAGGGCCTTTGTCTCCAGGTGAGGTCATCACAGGTTGGGCGGGCCCGTGCGAGAGAGTGCACGAAGTCACAGACAAGGCAAAATAAATAAGAGTTGCTGAAGGTAGACCCCACGAAAGTCCGCAGGCCAGTTAAAGATCCGCATTCACGCCGAAGCCATGCCTACTTCCCAAGAAGGAGCACGTGTTTCTGCGTGCTTACAGCGCAAATAAGTGCTTCACAGCCGTGCCGCTGAACTACGTCCAGTATCACGGAAGAGACATCCAAACTTCCTTTGACCATAATTCCAAAAGTTAACGTTGAAAAACGCAGGCCACACACACAGTGGTGACGAAAGACCCCGCGCCAATGACGTGGAGCTCGCCAGTTGGGCCACACAAGGATCAGTTACTCAAGCTCTCGGGTGGGGAACGATGGGAAGCATCCATCGCAACACGCACATTGGCAGCTACGTCCGGATCAGTCCGTATCTCCCAAGCTCAAACCACAACGGTTTTGACAACAGCCACTTCAGCCGGAGCCAAAGTTCAACGAACACCGTGCCGAAGCGCACCTCGCCTTCAGCGCCTGGTGCTCCTCCTTGAGCTGCCGCAGCTCCCGCAGCACCGCCTGCCCGAAACGGCAAGCGCCGCTTCGGCTGGAGCCGAGGCGCAAGAGCCCCAGCTGGCCACAAGGAGAGACGACTAAAATGCCAAGGGGCACCAGTCTCTCCAACAAAAAAAAAACAAAGTTGGAGTTTCCGGGGTCTGAAGCATCTAAAAGGTGCATACTCCATACGCTGAAGGGTATTTGGGATTTGCCAAGGGGCCATGGTTTGGAGACTTCTGGGTTCCTTCCCGGCCCCGAACTGGGATGATTCTGCGCGCTTGTCCATCTCCATGTTGCCATAAGGACCTTTCGCTCAACCCTCACATCCTCTCAGGATGGAAGGCTTTGACATGCATGCAGGTGGATTTGTGGGCGTTTGCCAAAATTGTGGTTTGGCTCCAAAGCACCTGGGCTCCTGAAATTTACCGAAACCCAAAATGCAATCCACAACCCAGAAATCCAATCTTGATTGAAACCACCGGATCTTGCAGGGACGCTTGATTTCCATGGGAAACGCAATTGCGCTGATCAATTCAAGCAGAACAAGCACTGCCACTTGCCCTGTCTTTTGAATTTCAACACACGTGAGCGAAATCCACAAGCCCGAGAGCTGGATGAAACAGGATGCAGGACTTCCCCCACTCTGAAGGCAAGTCAATGACACCCACTGAAAGGCCTTCAGCGGTGTGCCATGCCGGCCTGGCCAGCGTGCGTCGAAAAACATCTGCGACGTCGGAGTTCCATTTCGGCGTGTGATGCAAGGAGGCTAGTCCATAAACCATCATCAATACATGCTGGCCGGTGCAGCATTAGTTGTGTGCACAAGTGGCTGAACCACAATGCTTTGCAGAACGTGGTGGCGAAAACAAAGCAATAAACACATCCAGAACATCGACAATGTACAACGATCAGCTTGAACAGGGTTGTTGTTGCAAGTAAACGATCCACCCCAAAAACTAACTCCAACTGCCAGAGGATCACAGGAAGGACACTCAATATCATCATCCACGGCTGGAACAGTGCAGCAGGAAACAACTGAAGGGTATGAGGTATGACCAGCTTCGAACAGTCGCGAAAGTATGTGTAGCTCTCCTTGAATTTTGCCATGTCCAAGTTGTACAATTCACAGGTTGCCAAGTGCGTAAGGCGAGCAAAGTTCTTTCTGCTCCTACTCAAAACAGTCAACAGCGCTGCGCATGCCAATAGCCACACAAAAAGCCGGCTCCGCGCTCTGAACGCCTTGCTTTGCGAGGGTTCAGCCCGGAGAAAGCGACGACGAATTCAAAGCTATCATGGAAAAATTCCAAGTTGCCGCCTTCTCCATTGTATTGTCACCATTTTTTCTACTTGTTCCTTTGTACTCAAGAGAACATTTGCAACACGTGCAGCTTTGTGTGGTGATCTGCAAAGCAAGCCCCAGGGGTCCGAGCATGCAAGGATGCTCTAGGTTTGAAAGTTTGCGCGGTTATTTCGCCATGAAGGATTCAAACTTGCTACTTTGCTACTTTGCTTGCGGTCCACCCCACCTTGACGCCCAAGACGCAGCTTCCGCCGCGACATGCTGTCACGGTAGAGCCATGCGGTACAGCAGGTCCGTGCGAAGCTATTTGGCGATGTGCGTTTCCTTTTTGCTGCTGCCGTTGCTGATGTTGCTAACGCGCTGGAATTAATGTTGTAGTCGTCCTCACTACGGCGAACAGCCGGCGCCCGTGCCCAAGTCATCTCTGTTGAGGATGCGGCCATCTGGCGTGTGTGGCCTATTCCAAGCCAGCTGTGCCCCCAGGTGTGCGTGTGTGTGTGTGTGTGTATCTGTCACTCTCTCCATGTCAGTCAGGCCATGTCTTTCAAAAGAGCTGCAAGCCAAATGGGCACATAGCGCATGCTGAGACACCTCAATGATTGAGCAAGATCACATTCTGAATTGAAGCCAAAGGCCTCTCTTGCATGAGAGCAGCTGAGGGCCGATGAATGTGACCCCTGCCGTGTTGTCCTCTTAGTTGTGCGTGCGCCGCACCTTGCCAGCCAACTTGGTCAGATTTCAAGTTGCATTTCATTTTTAGGAAAGCATCCAGCATCTTGGTCAACTCGCTAATGTTCAAACTTTTCTCCCGACAACAAAAATCCCCGTGCCTTGAGACTGCCCAAACAAAACGGGCCCCGCGAAAGGGGTGCGTTGGCCGCGCTTGCCGTGAGTCTCGCCGTGCCAGACCGTCCGAGCGGCATTTGAACGATGCATTGCACAAAGGTTTTAGTCGTGTTAGTCACCAAGGATGGCAGTGGGCAGGTTGCTGGTGACAGGGAAGCCCTCTAGTCGTAGGAGAGCGACTAACCCAGGGAGTGCGCCTGCCTGATACCCCCTGCCATTTGCTGGATGCTCGCAGGGACGAAGCCTACAGACAGAAATGGTGCTAGTTCCTGAAAGGTGATGGTTGAAAAAACCTAGGAGGCACTGTGCCAAAATGGTCCCCCAATATGCTGGCATCTGCAGTGAATGATCACAGCTCACCCTGCCCGAAGCACTTTGTGCTGGGAAAAGACTGAAACGTCAACATGTGCTTCGTATCCAATGCATCTGGAAGTTCCGATCTGCAAGCCCTTTTCCGTCATGGCGCGTCCGAGGACGGCTTCACTGGAGCATTTGGCCCTGCCACGAAGGAGACCCACCCCACAGTCCAGTCCACGAGAGATCTCGCCTGGCGTTTGGATTTCAACCACAGCCTCACATGGCCATGGGTCAAAATCCCGTACCCCGAGTGGACATCCCAATCCCCACTAAAATGGCTTCAAATGGGTGGTGCACCTACCCAAAAAAGGTAATTGGTTTTGACCCACAGCCTCACATCTCATGGTAGAGGATAGAACAGAGCAATGGAGGTTCAAATCAGAGGCCAAACTCATGGGAATGTCCGCGTGTGGTTTGCACTTGCCCATAGATGATTCCGCACATGCCAGCTGCAGGCGGAAACGGTTAGAAACTGGATTCTCTTGCTGTCGGTGAGTGGTGTCATTTTGTTTGCTTGATCCAAGCGGAAATGTTGAGCTTGTTGCTTGGATACCTCCCTGACCACTGACCTCTGTTGACCAGGTTCATACCTCAGCGGCCAACATTCCCATTCGCTCAGCTGCATTGCATCGATTCGGCCGAATGCCTGGGCCTGTGTCAAACACAATGGCTACAACTGGTGCCGAACATACCACATTCTGCCTAGCCTCTTAAGCAGGCTGTCTGCAAGGGAGTTTCGGGATGAACCACCCTTGCTAGTTTGGAGGGAACCCAATCAACCCACTCGTCCCATAATCCGGCCCCCGGACTTTTCATCTGGAATGCTGTGTGCCCTGCCTTCATCTGGACTTGGGGCTTTGGCCTCACTGTTCTTCTCGCCTTCTCCTCAAAGAGCTCCTGCGGAACATGCGCTCAGTGCAACCCAGCTGAACTGCGGCCAACGGCCACCACCTTTGGTGGAAAAATGATCGACCCCCTTGTAGTGAAGCATTCCTTGTCGAGGGGGTCGCCAATTTTCTCACAAAAGGTGGCAAAAAGACCCCCCTGCCGTGGAATTGATCCAAGAACCCGGAGCTTGACTTCTTGTGATGTGAACATCCAAATCATCCCCGCGACGGAGTTGAGAGGGCTCATCTATGGCAGGCTGGGCGTCCCATCCGTTGCTTCATGCCCCGACCTTGCCTCATCTAAGAAGGAAGACTTGAGCTGGCTTGATGTTGGGGGAGAGTAAGGTTGAGGAAAGAACATCCTGCACGCTCAACAGGCTGCTGAAAGAGAAAAAGGGTGTTCTTCTACCAAGCATCGCCTTGCCCCAAGGCCACTGCTTTGGGGGCCATGGCTTCAGGTGCGCCAGCGTCACCAGCAAGCAAGCTTGACACAAGCAGAACTCGCAAGCTGCCCGCCCAGAGTGCAATGCATCTGGCCAAGCTGGGAGACAAATGAATTCGATCAGGACTGGCAGCCTCTTCGCAATAAGAACATCAAGCTCTTTGAACACGCATATACAAGCCAGAAGTTCTCGATATCGACCATCCTGTTCCATGTAAAGCAAGTTTTGCAGAATGGGTGGCCACCGCAACTCAGCTGTTCAGTGACCCTGGGAAAAAAGGGAACCCTAAGACCATTTCTAGTGGGGCAGCCACCAAAAAAGAGGGGAAAAGCGTGCCGCTGAACAACCGAGGGAACGCAAGCGACGGCCGAGCGACCCCGAGCGCGCCTCTTTCAGAGCCCGCTTGGCCAAGGCCTCGTCGTCCGTACTCAGGCGAAGGGCCACCGAGGAGGCGACGAGCCAATGTCTCTGGCTCTGCTCCAGGTAGACCGTGCCTGCGGTAGGGCACGGAACAAAATGGCCATCTGAATCACCATGTCATGTATTATAAAATGCCCGCACTGTACCCGCTTTTGTGTTTTTTTGTTTTATTTTTTTATTGTGTGGCAACAGCCGTGCTGCCGATATGCCGAGGAACATCCAATAGGCTTGGCTTCTTTCTTGGTCCCTATTCACACCTGCATTGCTACCTACCTTCAGAGGATCCAACAGGAACGTTTTGTTTCGCGCACGGCAATGCGCATTGTACCTTGTCAAGCTCTTCTGGTGGTGTCCCTCGAAGGCAGACATCTGGTGGCTGGGCGATTGCAACACAACTCTGCCGCATCCACTTCACTTGCCTTGTGCTCAAACCGGGCGGACCTTGCTAAGGGCCTCCGGACGGGACTGCCTCATGGGGAGTGTAGCCTCTGTCTAATTCAAAAAAGAAACGGTCACAACAAAACCCTTTCTAGGAACAGAAACTCCTACAACAAAAAAACGTCACGCATCGCGCCCGCCCCCCCGCCCGCCCCGGGCCTGCGTTTCCAGTGAGGGTCACCCAGCCCTCCTGTCCAGAGCCGCAAGCCAGGAACCGCCTCCGGGGTATGGCACCGGGTTCACCCTCCACTGGATCACCCAGCGCTTCCAGCAAGTCCCCGCTCTGGATCTTGCCTCGCGATACAAAGACATGTCCGCGAGTGCCAAACGTACATGCTCAAAGGAAAAGCAACCTGGACTCGATTCGGTCCCACTCTAGATCGACAAAAAAGCTTTCTGTCAACCATCCCAATTGATGCTCATGGCCCATAGCCTTGCCATCCTTACCGAAAGATGGCCTGCCATCATTGGCCAGTCAGCAAGTAAATCGACTGAACTTCTGGCAAGCTCGCCATAGCTTTCCCCCCAGAACAATCTCCTGAAGCGTATCGGACATCTCTTCAACCAGCACGTTTGTTTCAGAGTGCTTTGATTTTGGCCTCTGAAAGGGTTCCCTAAAACCCCCGTCTAGTCCGAGCCAGGTTGCACAGCACCTTGCAGCTTGTGATGTCCTCCACATCCGTCATGGCAATGGTTGACTTGCACACGTAGTGCCGGTCGCTGGGGCCCTCAATGCCAGAGCTGACCATCTCCTGAACACGTGCGTGACGTTGATACGGTTTACCTCATGAAGGTAAAATAATTGCGGACTCCTTGGACATTGGTTTGCCAATCGGCACAAGCTGAAGTCAAAGCCCGATGTATTCTGGCCGTTGACTGTTATCGATGCCCAAATACTCGCAAACAGAGATTCCAGGTGGGAAAGTGATTGATTCGATTGATTATTTTGCATGGTGTGCTAACAAGTGGTTGTTTTGTTGGTAGCAGCCGTCGACATCAACCCCCATCCTGCAACTGGCATCACGCTAGTTCACAATGTGAAAATGCTCTCCCTTCAGTTTCACAATTCCAAGCAACTCTTGATACAAAATGAGATGCGGCCACAACATGACGCGGGAACAATCGGAATGGATGGCTGATTCATGGGCCGATTCGATCCAGCCCCGTCCATGAACAGCGTGCAACCTTTGTGGCGCTGGTTCGGATAAACGCGCATGTACACAAAACAAGATCAGCAAGAATCAAAACGCCATCAGAGATGACCTGAATCTGACTCCCACCCCGTTGCACGGCCCAGTTTCCCCCTCAATCCTGCAGCAACACGAAGCCCTCGCTCCCATCTGCGGCAACTCCCTGCAGGAAGACCTTTCGGCATGCTGAAGCGTGCCGAGGACGCAGACGGAGACCACACAAAAAAAAGCGCGGATTTCGCTCTGAGAACGTGTGAATTCGTGTGCGCTCTGCAAAGCCAGCCTTCTCCTCAAAGGTGACTTCGCGGGGGCCTCGCGCACAAGGCATCGATGGCTTGAGGGCTGATTGAGAGTGAGTGGTCCTCGGCATGTTTTTTGCTGATGTTCATTCTTGTTTCGCATGGTTCCTGATTCAGAAAGTGAAAAAGCCTTTCCCCATTGTCTTGCTCTCTACCTATTGAAATCCCTGTCATTCCCTTCTATTCCATGTCATGATCCCACGCCATTCCGTTTTCTGACGACTTCCAGGCAAAGGATGCCCCTGCTTGGCTTTTGTTAGCGGCCTGTCTTCTGCAACGTTTACGGCTGACATTTGAAACTCCCCTGAAAGTCTGCAAAGGCGAACAAATGCAATTGGCAGTCTGCCATGGCGAAAAAACCGCATGGAAGGAGCTGGTGTAGTTCTGCATTGGACGCACATCAACGGTGGCGACGTGGCAAGTCGTGACATGGAGAGAAGGTGTCTATACCAACCAAGAAATGATCCGTGAAGGGCAGGCTCTTCATGAGCATCTTGCGAGAGAGAGAGAGAGAAAAACAAAATGGAGAAAAAAAACAATCCTGCAACACACCCCACACACACACACACACCAATTGCACGAAAGACATCGAACCGTCTTTCCGCTTGACCACACGCAAGCAGGACGAATGCCGACTTTGCAAATAATTAAAAGAAATTGCCATGTTCGCAAACTGCCAAAGGCAGGCTGCTGACCTTGTCCAGGAAAACATTCCACACAAAGAGGCAAGGGAAATTTGGGCCGAAGGTCCGCAAGCCCGTAAGACAAACCAACAGATAAGAGCGATCAGGGGAAAGGCTTCACTGATGCTGGATGGGGAAAGGTTTCGCTGATGCTGGATGTTGCTAGTGGCTTCGCCACTGCTTTCAGCGACGCGATTTCCCCCAAGGGAAATGTTTCACTAAAATTGGCAACAGACCGGATAGGCGATGGAACCTTGGTCGTGTGTGTCTGGCATGGCTCTGAGTGTCCACAGGCAGCGCATTGATGCTGCTTGCGCGACTGTGAGTTTTTGTTGTACTGCCAGCAAATGCTAGCACCAGGGCCGGTGTGTAGCGGCATGGTTGGTGCTAAGAGGCGGCAGGTAAAGAGAAATGTTTAGATTGAGCCAGCGCTTCATGTTAGGGGCGGGTGGGCGGGCATGAAACAAAAAGGTCGCTCAAATTGAACGATCAGCAGCACCCTCCACCCTCCTCTTGAGAGGAAATGTTCAAATGGCGAGATTCTCGGATCAAACTCAAGCACAATCTCATAACACCAACACGTCCGAGGACTATCCAAACGTGCGACCGCGCGCAAATCATATACAAGCTTACCGCCAGTCGGATGTGGGTCCTTAAACCCATGTTGGCATTTGCTCGCAAAAAACATATCTTACTTGCACGTGGTTTCGCTGCACCCGTTGGTTAAAACGGTGCTACGCCAAGCTAGAAGACTGCTTTGTCTGTTTCACAGAAAGAAACCATTGAGGATGCTTGCACACCTTGCACAACAAACCTGCAATTACCATTGGAGACCTCCGAACTGCATTTTGACTATCAATAACTTCTGCCCAGCGTGCCTCTTGCTCAGACCAAAGTGCACACACACACACACACACCGACAGACCCACAAACACACACCACACAGAGCGAGAGAGAGAGAGAGAGAGAGACACAGAGAGAGACAAAGACAGAGACAGCAGAAAGAGTCACACACAGACAAGCACGGAGTGCTAAAGCTAAGTCGCACCGTGTCTTCAGTGGGGCCCAAAAGCTCCGTCCCAGCCTTCCAGGAGTTCCAGCTTCTCACCCATCTGCAGCTTCCGCAGCACCTCAGAGCTCAGCTCGGACTCCGCCCGGAACTCAGTCTCGCCAGCAACCAGAAGGAAGGGCTTTTCCTTAGGTGGCAGTGGGAAGTGCCAGGTACGTACCGGTGGCCAAGGAGTCGGTGCTGTTGTCTCCGTAGCGTGCTGGTGTGGATGTTCATGCGCAATAGAACTGCAGAAAGGCCAGCTTTGCTGCGGCTTGCGCCACTAGTTGCTGCGGGAAATATTCCGCTACATCTCGGGTCCTCGCATCGGTGGCATTGATCTTCAGCCTTTTCTGCAAAGTCAAAGCACTCAACCACAAACACAGATTGCTTGATACCATGTGATGTTTGCAAAGGCAGGGCTTGTGGGGTTAGGAGCCCTGTGAACCCGAAGAAAATCGCCATCGGTGGAATGCATTGGGGGCCTCCAAATGGAATGTGCCTTGCCTGTGAATCGTTGCGGGCGTTTCTTGCATCACGACTGTGATGGCGGCGACGACTCTACCAGAAACCGGCCGCGGTCCAAGGCGCCCGGGGTTTCAGGAAAGGCGTGCCCTGGTTGCCCTTGATGGTGATCCATCCCTCCTTGCCGTCCTTCAGCGCACGGCATCGCACCCGCTGCACGTTCGCCTGGACGGACCATCCAGGGTGTCAGAAATCAATTCATTCAGATTGTGGTGTGTGTGTGTGGGTGCGCGTGTATGTGTATTTTGCTCTGGCAGATTCGACAGCTACGATGTGCAACTCTGAAGTCCCATCATGCACATGTATCAACCTCAGGGTCCTGTCTCATCCCCTGCAACCACACCACGGTGCACCCTTGAAGGGAGAAACACCCGCGAAACCGTCCGCATGGCTCCCGTACCCCGTACCTCCTCCTCTGTGCAAGGACCTTCCAGGATCTCCAGGACTTCATGCATCAGGATCTTCCTGAGGTCAAACCCAGAGCATCTGAGAAGCGAGAAGGCTGGCGGCTGATGTTCAAAGGCCATGGAAAGGCAGGGCTCTGCGGAAGTTACCAGAGACTTCCACAGGGTCTGTCCCTCATACCTCTTGGAATTGACGTTTCTAGCGCCTTGCATGTTGATATAAATGAACCTCACGGATGGGCTACTCACTATGGGACACACCTCTTTACTCTGCCAAAGCCCTAGCACTAGAATACCGGCTCCAAGGCTGCCAGGTTGACGTAGTCGCTTGTCGAACTGGGTGGAGGTGGGCCATCTTGCCCGACACCAAGAATTGTAAGAGAAGTGTCATCACTGGGGGAACTCCTCTGGCGGAGTTTGCTAAGCACCATGGCAACCCGTCCCACTCTGTGCCCTCCCCCTAAATTCTCTCGGGTGGGCCAGAATGGCCCTTGTGAATGACCCTCGTGTTTCAACAGTTCAGTCTAAGCTTCCGAATGGTGCCCGTGACTGTGCCAATGCTGAGGCCCCCCGTCATCGCCACCTCGCGCACGCAACAGCCGTACTCCTGGACCTCAGCAGGGCTACGTATTATGTTGATTATCCAAGCAAAGTCTGGGCGATGGGTATGTAACTCAAGAGCATCGGCTTCCAAGGCTAGTGCACAGAGCCATGATGGCCACGTCATGATGCATGGTCCAACACCGTGATTGTCTTAGACTATCACTAACTGCTTGTGCTTCAAGTCTGCTCTCCAAGACACCGCTTTCAGGAAGTTGCCCTTGAACATGCCGCTGCGGGCAAACTCCTTGTAGAGCATCTTTGCCTGCTCCGAAGTCACCTCCTCCCCTAGCTTCGACACGAAAAGCAGGAACTCCTCCTCAGAGACCTGGTCCTGATCACTCCTGCGAGCACAGCTGGATGCTAGCCATGCAAGCTACGCAAATGGCTTCTAAATGAGGTTCCGCAAGTGGAAAATTCAAGCGCGAGCCTGCGTAGCCATCCTTCCAAAGCCGTGCGTGCAATGTTCCTCTGTCCGAACTAAAGCTACTCCAACTGCATGTAAACTCGCGTCTGATCTGTCCAACACCTCAACATAGCCGTTTCGCCACTGCATTCGGCAGACTGAAATGCAAATGAACCTCCACCTGTCCAGCGAGATCCAAGCAGCTAGCTGGTCTTGTAGTTTGCAAGTTTGTGCCCCTAATCTTTCGTGCTGCTAACTTCGTAACCTCACAGCCATGTAAGAGCAAAGGCTGTGGTTTCAAGACAGATTTCAGTTCTTGCCAGATCAGCACGACGTTTTGCTCAAACGAGAGCAAATCCTGAGTCTCGAAACCTGAAAGCAACACAAGCACCTCAGGTTGAAAACAGAATCAAGCCCCGAAACCAACACTCCCAAGCTGAAGACGCTTGGCCGCGGGCTCCTGGCGGCTTGCAGGAAGGCTGAGTCTGGGGAGAGCCCGCTCTGCCGGAACGCATGTCGCAGCGCATTCCGTGCTCGCACCGTGAGCTTCTTCAGCGCCTCGCTTCGAAAAGTCTGCGAGCACAGCTGTTCTTTTGCTGGCGAAGAACTAGAATGGCTAAACCACTGGAATGGCATGTCTGACTGTCGTGCCAAACCAAAGAGTATAGAAACCACTGAGGCATGTCTGACTGTAGTGCCAAAACCAATGAGTATCAATAGTGAAGACTAATCGTTAGACTCACTTGCCATGGTTTGGAACCGCCGCTTTGCTCACTTGTTGATAGTTGCACTCAACGCGGAGTCCCTACGCCATTTGCGCGTCGCGTTGCCGAGGCCCCTGCCTGAGCATGCGCCTGGCGCAAGCTCTCGCTGCAGCTGCCGCACTTCTGCCTCGGAAAAAAACCGCGCGACGGGCACTGGATCTATGGGTCTTGCCGCGGGTCCCTCGATGGATGGTGAAACTGGATTCCACGGTACTGTAGCCTGAAGAAGCCGGTTTGCCCCAGGGTGCAGTACAAACTCCTCAAACCGTTTTGCATGGTCCTCGTTGTATCCACTTTGGAGGCAACGGCCAAGCGCTCCTAGCGCACACAATCTGTCAAACGAAAAGCACGCCTCGTTGCACAGAAGATGCTTGATTGGGTGACTTGGTTGAATTTCTGCGATGGTGAAAAGACGACTGCGAAAACAGAAATACATTAGGCAGGGATGCGTTCAAGAACATCGAGAAGGTAAGCACAGGAAACGACCCCTGCGAAACTCTGCCCAATCAAAGCAAGCTCGACGTGTGGTAAAGGTTCCAGCCAGGACTGGCACTCCTCTTGGGACTCTGCAGCGATGGCCGGCTGACCGAGGTTGGACTAAGGTCGGCCCCTAGAGGTGTGACCAATGGGCCAGGTTTACCTGCAACACGCGCAAAGGGGCTGAGCTGCAACAGGTTACCTCCGCTCAGCTGAGATTCGACTTCGATCGCACTCGATCGGCCATGAAGAGCTCGGCTTCGAACACAGCGGCCTGGCTCTCTTCGGCATCGCCGGCCTGCTTTCAGGATGGCCGTGGGGCCTTCTCTTTTCGCTGCATTTGGGCCCCCTGTAAGGGCCTCGGGCCCTGGCGTCACTTGGCTTGGGCTTGCAGACGCAGGCCGACGGAAGGACGCCCAACCAACAGGTTGGGCGCGAGGCAGCGCCGACTGGGTTGAGTCTTGAAAGACTAAAGCCAGCTCACGGCTGCCAGGTTGACTGCCTGGGTGTCTCGCGCTCAAGAGCAGATTTGGCAATGTAGATATTATCCTTCGCCGCGCGCCTAAGATGGGCAACGGCCTTAGGGCTAGTGTCACCGCTGAAAGCGCAAACAGCCTTCAGACTTGGGCCAGTTCTTTGGCCTCGGCTTGTGCTTTAAGGTTCTGTCTGTGCTTGCTCAGGTCACTTGATCCTGAGGAGCTTGCCTTAGGCACGGCTCCTTGTTCGCTTTCTACCACTGCGACGCAGCTGTTTGGCGAGTAAGTGTTAGGCTCGAAGAGCAGGTGCAATTTGGAGCAGGCCGTCGGCAAAAGACGCCCACCCAAAATGCACATGGAGACAATCAAAACAATTGCCTTTGCGGGTCTGCAGGAACATGTGTCACATTACTGGAGCACTTCTGCAACCACGGCACTCCATCGCAAACAGCTGAGAGTTGATCTTGTTCAACTCCACGCGTGCCTCACAGGCTGAAACAGGGGCAGCAAGCAGAATGGCCGTTCGCCGATATGTGGTTGATGCAACTTCTGCTGCAAATGCGTGTATGATCCAAGCGCCTGGTAGAGTTGCTGATGCTTTGCATTGCTTACCCTGTTCCATGAGGTCATGACGAGCCTTTCTACCAGCCTGTTCATGGAAGCCAGTTTTAAGCCCAACCCGGCAAAGTCTCCAGGCAAAACCACCGAAAGGTCAAACCCCAACCTCTCAGGAAGATGTCACTGGCCTGTCAGGCATCTTCAGTCCGAGCTGCACTTTCATCAAAAGCTAGTGAGAGACAAGTCAAACCGATTGGCGCGGAAGTCTTCAGCGCATAGGTAGCCTGTCGCATTTTGACAGCACTGCCCGCGCCTGTAGAAGCATCGTGCGCTTCGGCCCTGGCAGCGGAACATTCAGCAAACGGCTCAGCCGACGTTGAGAATGAAGTCCCCTCTAGCATGAGAGACAACATGGCTGGGCAGCTGCCTCTTGAGAGTGTGTTAGAAGCGTAGAGTGGGGCTGGCGGTAATGTTAGATAGCGATTAATACAAGGGGAGTGAATACAGAGAAAAAAAACTCAAAATTATTCACTCTCCTGAAAAGCAAAAAGGGTAGGTATTACAGAAAAAAATATGCCCGAAATCCCGAAAATATGTTCCCTTCCAAGAATGGACTATTTTTGAGGGTTGAAACGTTTGAGCCCAGCCAGAAATGTCCAGAATCTCTGGATTGCTTCCTGTCCCAAACCACCAAATTCCTTATCAATCCCTTTACTAGAAGATGCACCCTGACAAATTTTCAAGGGGGTGGCACACGGAACCCCCAGGAAGGCAATAATGCAGTTTGTTTAAGGGTAGGGAGTTGTGAAAACAATTAGCCAGGGCAGCCTGCCAAGAAGAAGAACCAATACTAAACCAATTCTAAACTGTAGTGCGTCAACTGAAAAGAATACTAAACTAATACTAAACCAATTCTAAACCGTAGTGAGCCAGCTCAAAGAAATACTAAACCAATACTAAATCAATTCTAAACCGTAGTGAGCCAGCTCAAAGGAAAACTAAACCAATACTAAACCAATTCTAAACAATACTTACTGGAAAACTACTCAGGCAGGTCCCAGGGCCCCTTTATTAATCACTCTCCAACATTACCACCTGCCAACCTGCGAATGTGGAACATTCAGGATGACTTCTGCAGCCCATGCATCCCAGCAGCGAGCAAGGCGAACAACATCGGGAAACCCAAAGACATCCATAAGTTGCTACGTCCACATGGCATGCCTAGACACTGCGCGGGCCAAGGCTCCTGCGCTCCGGCTGACAGAGATGGTGGTACAAAAATTTCTCTTCGGCGCCACTCAGGCGGCTGAAGACTAAGAGAGGGATGCTCAAAATTTCTCTCCGGCGGACTTCATGAGTCTCGCCATGGCCTTTGGTCCCCGATCCTGAAAGCCTTTGCCCCCCCCTTGTCCAGTCCGTGCCTGTCTGTCGGCTCTGTGGTCAGAATGTGGTCAGAAGAAGGCAAGATGATCACAACAATTCCCCCAAACAGCAGGATGCTGCGACTCGTGTTGACCTCGGCCCACACGCCTTTGAAGGAGTCGAAGGAATCCAGGAGCTGTGTTATCACTCCCTGGCAAAGCTGCGAGATTTCTCTTTGCCAGCAAGCAAACCCACTGCAAACCCACTGCCAAGGGTCATCGTTGCTACGCACTTCGTCTCTATTCTGTGGCTTTACGGATCAGAATCTGCAATGGACCCGGCGTAAAAGCATAAGGCGAAGCCTCATCAGAAACTCTGCAGTAGGAATGAGCCACGTATTCGGAAGCTTGCATCCTGTCTGCCTGTTCTGCACATGTTGCTCGCTGCTTGCAGAGGATGCGTGCTTCGTGGCGCTTGCTTCGGACATTCAGAACTGGTCAGCGTGCAGCTCAGAGTTTGTACTTGGATGGGTTCAAAAGCTCTGCAGGCAATATGTATCACTTCCGTTTTGCGGGCGGGCACCAACATGTCCGCCGCTGTCCTTGATGTTGGGAATGCCACGTCGTCCACAGGCTACACTCCGGGTCATGTGGCTCTCTTAGGCCCCGATTGCCAAAAGCCCGGTGGTATCCCGAAGGCCTTCGAGGACTTCAGCACCTCGAAGGCTGTCTCGCCCTGAGTCTGTAGGGCCTGGCTGACTCTCTTGGCTCTCAAAATGGGTCTGTCTCAAATGGAGACAAAAACCATTGTGGTGCTAACTTGATCTCAAGTCGAAGGGAAACCAACCAGTTTTGGGCCTGCCCCATTTTTGGAAACACTCACATAGAGATATACGGCAGGTTCAACATCGGATCTTGGCACAGCTCTCCTAACTGAGCCTAAGTGTGTCCATAGGATGCATGCACAAAGCGGCTCATTGCGAGAACATGTAGCAAGGCGCCCAATGACAACATGAGTTGCAAGAACGAGTCTCTTTTACAGGCCTTTTTCATTGATGGTGATGCTATCAGAGTGCTTTCCTGAAACACAATACATATGTCTCGGTCAGGAAAAGTCAAGATTACTCGCTTGCCAATCAACGGTCAGAACGCAAATCCTGAGTGCGCAACTTGAATGATGACTACAGCTCAAGGTTTTTATACCGTGTCCGCTGCCACGTTCCGATCGTTCCAAATCAAGGTTCTCCTCGAAGCCAAGCCAAAGTCCACTGTCCTGATCCTCGAAGGCAACAGAAGGCTTGACAATCTGTCGGCAAACACACACGAAACCTTCCAAAGAAACGCGCCAAAAGAATTCAACAAACAAGGCCTCAATCACAACCAAGCTGACTGCTCGAAGTCACACCACTGCCAAGCTGGTCCCAAGGTAGCCAAACCCAACGCGGCGTTTTTTCCTCGGACCCCCCTCCCCCCCCCCAGCCCAGCCCACCGCCCCCGCCTCTAGCTCACTGAGCGATAGCCTCTGTGACTCCTCGGCGCCCTGCAGCACCTGGCGCGGTATATGGAAACCTGCGGTCCATATCCTGGTGGTCGTCTTTTTGGCCCCATACCCGCACTCATGTCTTGCTGTGTTTGCTCCGCTTCCTCTGTCGCTCAATCAGCAAAATGGCGCGTGTGTGCTGCTTTACCAGTGCACAGTCTTGTCACTCTGCTGTATAGCTGGGCGTTGCGCACAACATCCCGCATTAATCACAGGGTACCTGTGACAACAGGCATGTACAGCAACACCGCCCAGCAACGCCGCGTAGCACGCATGAAGTGCAATCGCAGAATGGGGAGTGAAATTGAAACGGCCTCTCAGAAATTTATGTGTGTGGCGGTGCGCGACACAACAAGTCCCGTTCATGAAGGTAGCAAAGCAACGACGCACAATGCTACCGCGCATTGTTAGCATGACCGATGTTGGCCAAACGGTCGATGCCACGCAGCTCGCCGACTATTGCATGTCCCTGGCTGCTGCCCTGCTCACCCAAAGTGCAATCGCATCCTAGGCATCAGAAGTGACTGCGTAGCGTGATCCGGTGCCTGTTCGGGAACCCAAGCGCGCGTGAATGCCTTCTGGAAAAGGTCAGCCGTTCTCAGCATCAGTCTGCAGGCAAGGCTTTGATGAACAAACACGCGCTGGCGCTGCGGCCTGCATGTCAATCTGGCTGCTGCCTCAACTGCGGCGCGGTAGCTAAAAACCAGCTAGGCAATGTTTCTAGATCGTGCGAACTCAAGAGATAGCGGCGACCAAAGCTTTCTGCTCGGGCAGCATGTTGGCTTGTGACAGCTCTCGCGACGCGAAACTCTGTTGGCATATGATATGTTTGGCACCCGACAAGGCCGAAGGCGGGCAAGGTTTTCGGTGAAACTTGTCGGAGTGGCAAGTGTCCAAAGTATCGCGACAGCAACTAACTATGGTGATCTGCCAGAAAGTCTCACTGGACCCTTGCTCCTTTGTCCCCTTGTCTTGTAGCTGTTGTTTTCCCTGGTGCAAAGTCAGTCTGAGCTTGTGCATAGAGCTTGGTGCGGGCAATTGTCTACGCTGAAGGTGTCGGCCGCCGATACTGTCTGCCACACCGGTGCGCAATTACAGCCCGCTGCGCGCTGCAGAAGCAGCAGCCAAACAATCAGCATTGCAGCTCTGATTTCCCCAGGACCACGTCGCCACTTTGAAACAGCCGGGTCTTGACATCCATGTTGACGCGGGTTGGCCAGACTTTCAGCGGCCTGCTTAACACCACCAAAGTTCAAGTTGACACCAAAATCTGCTGAAGAAATACACTGTTGAGTGCGAGCAAAAGAACCATCACGAATATCCTGCACTTGCGTTGGCCCAACCTGTTGCCGCGCCAGAGCACATGTTGTTGGCGGATTCCTTTATTTAGAGCATGCAGTCTTTAAAAAGTCTTGAGCGGCAGCGCCGTTGCCTCTAGAAAAACAAAATGAATTCCAGCACCCATTCGGTCCCTCCTGGTTCGTCGCTTCCTCCGCTTCTTTCAAGGCCTCCTTCCCCCGGCGGGAGGATTCCTCTTGGAAGGCCTCGCAGGAAACTGCCCATAGTCCTATTGTTTTGGACCCTTTGACAGTTCGTTCCGGGACAACCACTCACCGAAGGGAAAACAAGGCAAGCTCTGACCGGCCATTGCTGGGCCTAGCCTTGCATTAAAGTTTGACGCAACGAAACCCACCACGCCTTGCACTTGGCGTCCATGAGTTCTTTGACCTCCGCCTGCAGCTCAAAAGCGATCACACTGTCGCCTATCAAGCATGGGAGATAGCCCTTCCGCCACAAACGACCACGTGGAAACTCTGCGTAAGTGTTCAAAGAGCCAACAAGAAACTCTGCGTAGTGTTCTGAAAGGGCCAACACGTGAGGTTTTGTCTTTGTTTCGAAGCATCTCCAAGGAGCTGCAGGCTTAGAAGGACGCAGCAGCACTATCGGCCGCTCAGTCGCTTCACTTTGACGTGCTTTCAACAAACACCGACAGTAAACAGAAAACGCAGCCCGTGCAGAACAGCAGGCAAAGGTCTTGCAAGCTTGCTCTGTCTTCACGCGTGCACGTCTCACCTCCTGTCAGGAGGAGCCCAACCGTGGCAAGAAGCGCCCTTGCCTCCCGCTCCTGCTGCGCCGCTTCCTGGCCAGGGCACGGGCTTCAACGCCAACGCTGCAAGCGGCCAACTGCGACTTGTCGCTGCGAATCTCGGGCGCCACTTCTGCGCGCGACGTGGAAAGCTCGCAGAGCCAACGCCCCAAGCGCAAAGGCGCGTGACGCGGGCAAACGCTCCTTCGCCCTAACCTTGGCCATACCTTACCCACGAAGCCAACACAAAGCAAGGACAGGTCCTGTGCAAAGGGACAGGCTTCCCATACGAGCTCGCCAGCACTTCAAAAGCAAACAGCTCCTGTTGGAAAACAAACGGCATCCACAGGTTGCTCGCCTCGCCTTTTCACTGGTCTTGGACACTGCAAGATCCATGATTCCACACACCGAAAAACATGGCTGATGCTCAGCGCATGAAAGAAGACCAGCCAGAGACACTGAACCATCAGAAGCACCCACAGGCAACGGCCCGACTCCTTGGCCGTCAGCAAGTTGGACTTCAGGATATCCAGCTTCGCCTTCTCCTGGCGTTCGGAAGGGCAAGCGTTCTGAGAACTATCCTACACTGCCTGCGTGAGCTTCTTGCTGACTTCCAGCCTTGGCGAGCAGAGGACATACCCCTTAAGCACTGAGAAATGCGCACTCACGTTGCTGCTCTTGGGGGCTACATGGTTAGCATTGTGCGCCACGGCGCTTGCAGTATCCATGCATATCCATGCCATTTTGTCGCCGAGCTGGGCCCTTGCTCATGCTGCATGCTGTCTTCACTGGCGTGGTCTACCCAAGACTCAGGTCAGAAGGAATCGTGCCGTCAACTTTGCCACGTGAACACGCAAGCTGACTACCGAGTGAAACCTGACCACAGCTTTGGGCGTCATGATTGGCAGTGTGAGCAGAGTTCAACAAAGATCAGTATCAACAGCGCTGCTTAAATCAACAAACGATGCGCGGCCGAAGCTTGGATCTCCGCAGCCATGTAAGCCTTACCCGCCATTCCCAAGACTTGCCTGGACCCAGGTCCCCTAGGCGCGGCATGCGAGGATGGTTGCCTGGTCTTACTCGCATCGGATTTGAGGACAAAGGCAGGCTCAGGACCGCGCAAGCAATCGGAAGGCCCTAGACATGCTGACAGCGGATCGCAGGACTACTGTTTACGACGCGGCTAAGCCGTTCAACCATTCCTGAATTCCGCATTGTGGAAGATGGCAATCTTTCCGCCCATGATTCTGCGGCTACACGGCTGTTCAGCGCTTGTTCCAGTTCTTGACCGTCTGCGCCGGCTGGTAAAATCAAGCGAGACACCAGCATGACCCCTCGCATTGCTCCTCATGGTCCAGAAGCACCGAGCGGGCGGTGGGCGGGCAGATGGGCGGGCGCGCACGAACGGGGGGCCATGCGCGGCCCGCCAGGCGCGTCACAACCAACCGGACTGATTTGTTATTACATCTTCACAGCCGACGTTGCGAGATAAATCAGCACCTTCTTTCAACCCCAACAACCCATAACACATGGATGTCTTGGAAGCAGCCAGGCCAGCCCAAACATCCAAGCTTGGGGCAGCTTGCTTCGAATCGGCACCAGCGGGCCCTGCTTGATGCTGGCAACCTGAAAACAACCGGCCGGTCGCTGTCCCTGCAGCCAGAAAAGTTTGCCTTGTTCAGTATGATACTGGAATTATTGCCTGGTCAGCGCTGATGTTGAACACTTGTAATCGAGAAGCAGAACTTGGATAGCTGGGCGGGCGGCGTCCCACAAAGAACGACTCTCAAAAATTGCATCTGCCGTGCAGCAAAGCAAATGCAAAACCGTAAATTGCTGGAACACAAGCAAGGTTGCCCTGCTCAACTCTATCAAGCCCCTCTAGCTCAACGATTGTGCGTGAAAATCGAGGGAAACCCAAAGAGAGAAGGACGCTGTGAGCGTACGCTTTTTTCAGTTTTTGAGTGGAAACTCGAGTTGAACTATGTTTGCGTAATGTGTGTGTGTGTGTCTAAATGTTAGCTGACTTGTAAAGACATTTGAATGGAAAGAACATACTGTGTAAATTATCGTTTAAAAGCGAAATATTCTAATTTAAATTCTAAATTGAAACAGAAGTGGTCTTTGGATTCATTTCTTATCAAACTATGTGTCAACTCTATCTTAATTGTAATGTTCTTTTGGGAAAGGATGTCCCATCTAAATTTTAAGTGTCAGACGTAAGTTTCGCCAGTAGGATTCTGATCGAGAATTTCCTTGTTGAATCCCATTTACATCCTATTCAAATTCAAACTGAATTTTAGAGAGCAGCCGTTGGTGGAGATGTGAATTGAATACCAAAAACGTTACAAAACATTGTTTTACGGTGTTGTCTGACCATGGTAGTGCTGGGGCTAGTCAACACAAACAAGCACGATTTCGGGACCTCTGAAGGATTTCCTACACGGGAGTGCCTTCCGAAAGGAGATCCTGTGTAGCATTTACTTTGAAATGGAATACTTGTTGTTTAAGTTATACTTCAAACTAAAAATTATGTTTGGACTCTTTCCGTATCAGATTCCTGTTCATGTGAGACAGAAATCCAGGAGAACTTGAGAAATATGTATATATATATATATGTTCCAGGCCGTGGACCCCCCCCCCCCCCCCCCCCCCCCCCCCCCTGTGGGGGGTGGGGTGGGTGGGTGGTGGGGTGGTGGTGGGGTGGGGTGGGGGGGTGGGGGTGGTGGGGTGGGGGGTGGGGTGGGTGGTGGGGTGGTGGGGTGGTGGGGTGGTGGGGTGGTGGGGTGGTGGGGTGGTTGGGTGGTTGGGTGGTTGGGTGGTTGGGTGGTTGGGGTGTGGTTCGGAGTTGGTTGAGGCTTGGTGGGTTGGTTTAGGGTTGGTTCAGGGTTGGTTCAGGGTTGGTTTGCGGTGGGTTTCGGGTGGGTTTGGGGTTTGGGTTGATTTAGGCTTAGGGTTGGGGTTAAAGGGTGGTTTGGTTTAGGGTAGGATGTTGCGAGAGGTGCGGGGGTGTTGGTTCACGGGGTGAAAGGGGGTCTGGGACCGAAGCTGCAGGGCTCGCGCGGTACTGGACAGCATCCCCAGCATTGCCAGCATCATCCCCACGATGCGGATGATGCGGGGGAGTGGGGGGAGGGGGGGGGAACGTGGCCCAGGGACTGGTACATATATATAAAGTAGAAATTCATGAGGAAAGAATCTAGAGGTCCCGAAAATGCTTAATGCATGGTGTTTAGTTGCGTACTGATTTGTAAGGGCAATTCTATTGCAATAGAATTGTGTTTGCAAATCGTGTTTAACAGTTGTGGGACCTCTATTTGTTTTTCTTATGAACTCTACTTAATATGCTTATCAAGTTCTACTTGTATAACTCCAACAAAAAATAAGAGAATGTAATAAGGCACGAGTCCAAACGAAACCATCTCCAGCTTGCTGTATTAGGGCTTGGAGGTGAACTACACCAGCGCACTTGATCACAGAAGCTCTCGCAAAAAAGCCGGAAACGGTACAGTACAAAAAAACAATTCGAGACCACCAAAACAAAACATGTTCTCCCCCCAAGTCAGTACAGCTGATAGAGTCCTTTGTGTTTGCTTTGTTTTTTGCGTTTCCTCGAGGTGTTTCCCACTTTTCCAAAGAAAAACAAACAAAAAGACTACCCCCCCCCCCCCCCAAGTCAGGACAGCTGACATAGTCGCTTTTTGTTGCTTATTGGTTTTTTGGTTTTCTCGAGGTTTTTGGTTGAATGCTTTCTCAGAATGAACCTGCCAAAAAAGTGCGGTGGGAAATCCTTGGAGGCAATGAGCCCTCGCTCACTGGCAATTACCCTGCCTGAGCGGCCTTCTGCTCTGTCTGCGTTGCAGAGAAGTTGCAGTTGGCGAAGGCGGCCTAAAACGCAACACTCCCTACGTTGGCATAGTCAAACACACATGTGCGGTGAAAGCACACATGCAAAGTACACTCAGGTGTGTCTCTGAAGTAGACACTGGCCTTCAAACATGCCCCTCCATTTCAGTCCATGGGAGGAGCCACCTCCAACTCGCAAGATATTCCCAGCCAGGCAAAAAGAGAGGGAAATGCTCCCCGCTTGCCGACACTGACACCGGCATGGCTGGAGGCATGTCTCTCTGGGCGCCAGCGGTGCTGGGGAAGCGAACCCGGGCGAGCAATACACCCCTTGCCTTGATGTACGCCTCCAAGCTCCTCAGCTTCAGCTTGGTGCTATGTTTGGCAATACTCCAATGATTGCCAACAGGGAGGGTCAAGTACAATCGTCTCCAATGCCGGCCATCCTGCTCAGCCTCTTCCTTCTGTCCCGAGTTGCAATCTGTCCGGTGATTTTATTCGGTTCCAAGACTGTCCGAACGGGAAAACAAGTGGCTGAACTCGGCCCTACCAAGTTGCCGCATTCCGCTCACGTTGTGTGATGCATCACCCCGTGTGTTGAATTGTCTCTCTTTTCGGCTATGAGCACCTTTACGGGAATTTATATTTCGCCTCCGGCAGCCGGACCAGCCGGACCAGCCGGACCAGCCGCACCGGCCTCTCCGCTGAGCACCCGGGCGCCAGTTGCCCTGCTGCAGTGGGCTGCAGGCACTCCGCGCTGGCCACCTCAGGACCCAGGATCTCGGGGTTCCAGCTTTCTGCCCTAGGTCAGGGAGTCCTGGTTTGCCAAAAGGTTTATCATCCAAGTCCTTTACCAGTGGCCACGTGATTTGCCACAACTGGAATTGTCCCTGTATGGTTGCGGCCATGGGGCTTCGACGCCGCTAAGGGTTGCTTGAGGTGCACATCTTGAGTTACGGAGGCCTCTCGTGGATGAAGTGAGCTCCCGTCACTACAACGTGCTTGCGAGCCAATCGTCACTTGCCTTCCATCGACAGAAGTCCACATCATGGGCTACGGCTGCTAGATGCCGAACGGAATGCGAGCAAGTTGAATTGCTCAGCGAACAATGCAAAGAAGATTGCCCTTGGCAATCTTACAACACGTTCACCAGCTTTCAAGGCTTGCTCCGCAGTTTTTGGACTGCATGAGTGTTGAGTGTTTCATGTTTCTTCTGAATGCCAAAGGAGCTCAGTCCGCCCTGGTGTTACGGTGACAAAGGGAAAGCAGGCTGCAGTTGACTGTCTCAAAGTGTCCGAGTTGAATCCAAGGTGCCATCCAAACTATGCAACAGCTAAAAACCCTGCAGGTAATACCCACTGGCCCCCTATTAGGGCAAGTCAAAAGCCGGAAAGTCACCGATGCCCGAACTGCCAACTCTGATTTGCTCCTGGGGCCCACACCCACAGTGACGAGCCGTCACGCAGCAAGCGGCAGTGCGGCCGCTCGTCACCTCGACAGCTTCTGAACCCCGAAACATGAGAACGTGAACTGCAATGTACATCAATCAATCTACATGTGCTCGACACTATGACATCATCAACAATGATAATGTTGTGCTCAATCATGTGCATGTTGCCATAATGTGCTTCGCAAAATACATAGTGGCATACTGGGCATCAATCAAGCAGCCTCGTCTCTGTCTCCCTCCCACCCTCCCCGTCTCCATCCCCCCCTGCCCACCCTCCCTCTCCCCTCACTTTCCCTGCCTATCCACTTCCTTTCTCTGCTCATTGGCATCGCTGTCGACTTGACACTCTCCATAACTACTCGGCTTGGTGGCCAAGAATCCTAACCAACCTGGCTGAGCACTTCTAATTTCCTCACGCTGAAGCTGTGATTCCTTGCCAACGCAACGCACGCACGCGTTCATGCAAACAAACAAACAAACAAACAAACAAACAAACAAACAAGCACGCCCGCACGCCCGCCCGCACGCACGCACGCACGCACGGTTCCATCGAATGAAGCAAGCGAGCAAACATCACAGCAACAAGAACAAGTCAATGGATTCAGCCATGCAGGAAGTCAATCTAAACCCCCAGCTCTGGCGCCAAGCGACTGGTGTCAAGGATTTGGACAGCTTCCCCCTCGTAGAGCTGGCAGATTTCCCGACCGCCTGATTTTTGTTTGGTCGGAACGGGACCGATGATCCGGCTACCATCCATACACAAATAGCCAGGCAAGTGTCAAATTGGGGCGGGTGTCAGCAGCAAAATGAGCAGCATCAATCTGTTTGAAGGGCCCCTCATTACGACGTACGTGAAATATCCAATGGACGAATGCAGTTTGCCATGAACAGCACCCGGCGAAAGGTCCACCGCTTCAAGAGCTTTGTCCTTCTCCCCAGGGCTCATTGCAAAACAACTGGTCTGAAATGCAACATGATGTCGCTCCTAGGCAGATGCCGGGAAGTGCTAGAAGAACCCTCCTTTGGCGCGAGCTTTCGGATTGAAAACTCTGATGCCGCATTGCAACATCCCGTTCAAAATTCGAGCTATGAAGGCTCGTCTGAGCTACTATTCGGGCTGGGAGATCGCAAAAAAACACGCCGGCAAACACAAAAGCAAACCAACCAAGCGTCGCCTTGATGATGATGATGATGATGATGATGATGATGATGGTGAGGATGATGATGCTGGTGGCGGTGGCGATAGTGACGATGACGTCAACAACATGGCCAAATAAATGAAAAAACAACCCCCCCCAAAAAAACAAACTCATTAACAAAGAGTCATAGTGGGAATCATTCGCCTCGGCCCCAGGGCCGGGAAGCGGTCAGACCCCTCCTTACATCATAGGGATCTCGCCAAGAGCTGTAGCTCTGGCCTCCCAAGCCCTTGCAGATCCTCAAGAATCCGGCCCTCATGTATGACCTCAGCACGCCTCCAAGCCACATGCTCCAACTTAGGACTAGCATTCAAACGACGTCCCATCACAGCAATCATCTGTAGGAGAAGGAAGCAGGAAGACCCTATCAGAAACCCGGGCCGCAGGGAAGTTTCCTCCCGTCACTGCATGGCCGGCGCTGCAGCGGTGTTGCCACTACGACTAATTTCGCGTCCATATAGATGCATTCCCAAGATCAATTCTTGGGCTTCATCCGGCCCCGACCCCTTCCTGGACTGTGGCTGTAGTTCTGGCCCTCAGGGCGGCCCTATCCCTTGTGCCCAGAATGCTGCAGTGCTGGTGTTGGCCCCCAGTCCCTTGCCCTTTGACTACTCAGTGCCCAGCGACACTTTCACGCATGGGAGGCATGAACGTTGTTTCTTGCCAGCTGCCCAGCTTCCCCACGCCTGCCCCTGGATGTAAGGACGCAGATCAAAGGACGCCTCTAAATCAAATAGGCGCCGGCGAAGGAGGGCAGCGCGAAGCGTTTAGAAATCTCACCCCCCTATTAATGAATGACCCCCTTTTTCTTTTTCTTTAAAAAAAAGAAGAAGAAGAAAAACAAGAAATCCGGGGCCCGGGACCAGATTTCCACTCCGCACAATTGTTTTTAATTGAGCCAATACTAAACCCTTACTAAAGTCTTGGAATCCATATTAGGGGGCACTTTTCACAAGCTTCCAGCCCTACTTTTAAGAAGGTGGGTTCCCCAAAAGGTTGTTTCCCCAAAAGGTGGGTTCCCCAAAAGGTTGCTTCCCCAAAAGCTGTCTAGCTGCGACTGTCTCTCTCCCGTACATGCTGGCTAATTAATTACCTAACCTGCCTGGCTGCAAACAAACAACCAGTAAACTGAAAAACAAATAGAATAATACATTAAATTTCCTTATTGAACCGCTTACTCGCGGACCTTACAATTCAACTATGTGAACCCTCACATTGTTGGAAAAGCAAAAAAAAACCAACCCCAAAAAACCCAATTAAATATATATATATATATATGTGGGAGGAGTTTTTTTAATAATTGGGGGGGGGACCCGTATTTATTAATAGGGGGGTGAGATTAATAATAATGGTGGTGGTGTCGATGAAGGCCACAGAAAGTGAATCACAAGACAACAGAGAATCCTCCAGAACGAGCGTGAGTCCAAGGAGGCTCGCATCTCTCCCGCCTGACGGCGCATTCCAAAGGCCAATTGTGTTGGCGGCGCAGCGGCGCGCCAACAACAGGTCCTCTCAGAGTGAGGGAGACAAGTCATCTGGATGGCCGTGTGGTCAGCCACAAAGAGTTATATGGCGCTCATGACTCATGTTGATCGCCCTCGCTATTGGTGGGGTTGATGTCAATGCAAAGCTATGTGAGTTGGGCATACTGAAATAGTTGAAAAGTATCAAACTGTACAACCTCAGCAAAGGGGCTGTAAACAACCAGTGCTTGTCACAGATATCTCTTTGTGTAAAGGTCAAAACCCTTTTTTGGGGAAAGGGCCCGAGGAGTCCGTCCGCACAAGTGAACTGCATGCTTCAATGTGGCACGCAAACAGGGAGTACAAAAGCGGCAACGGCCTGCGCGCCGTGCACCATGCTTTGCTTTGCAGGCTTGGGACAATCTGCATTGACAACTGGAAGGGCCAGTGAGCTGAGTGAGCTACTTCTCAAACCCTGGACTGGCATGCCATCTCTAGTGGGAGATACAGCTTCAGGTGCGCTTTGAAGTGGGGTCAGTGTCCATTGTCAGCTCTCCTGAAACTCCGCCTGCTTCATCTGCTCGCCCTTCACAAGCAGCGGCCAGACCTGCAGGGTCTGCTCCTCCCGGATAGGCGCAGAGCCTTTGACGGGCCAAAAATGGGGGCCCAAAGCCATTGGGCTGGTTTTAGCAAATATCTCCGAACAAAAAGCACCAGTGCCAGGTGTCACAAAGCTCGTTGTGATACAGCCCAGTTTGAGGGAAGTCTCCTGGCGTGAATCGGTCTTCTACCTCACGCAGCAACAAACCAGCAATGCCCACAGTACTGCCAACAATGATAAAACGAAACCCTACAAATGTTGACTTCAAACAGTGGTACTATAACCCATTGACAGGCTGAGGCTGCAGTTGGCAGTCTTCCCTCCTTGGTGAGGGTGCCGCTTGAAACCTCGCTCCTGCACGAAGATAGCTGGCAATCGGCAAGACATTCCGATCAAGATTGACTTAAGGCGGCTTGGGTAAGTCTGTGCAGGTACAAAGCCACAATTGAAGCGATGTTAAGGCCCAACCATTGAACTGCAACAGCATGCGACAATGCCAGGGCAGGATGCTCGTTCCACAGGGGCAAGCATCATGTGAGCATGTTGTACTTCTGGTTGCCGCTGGGAGAGGCATAGATTGAAACCAGCACAAGGTTCACACTATCCCAGCCGTGGGAACAACTGTTGATCAACCTCCAAGCAACTCATGAACCTCAAAAACATCCCAAGATGGGATCTTGCAAGTTGTCCGCCAACACAATCGAACAGAGAGCGGTCTTGACAGAACAGCCTTCTACACAATACATAGTAAGACACGACACGACATTCGTCAACTATTCTTATCGCCGAAAATTGAATAAGTCGCAGCATGGCTCAGAAGTCAGCACGCTCTTGATTGCACAGCCGTCTTTTGTGTGCTGTTGAATGTGTGCATAGCCGTCTTTGCAAAGCTCGTTCCGTCCGATCATGGAACAAACTGCACTGCGCTGGTATCAACAAGGGGGGGCCGTTGTTACGCTCGCTGACACAAAGAAGTTCTAGACCTGCCGTCAATCCCAAATGCCTCTTACTTCTCAAGCAAAGCCCGGGCGACAAAGGACCATGTTTGTGACTATGAAGATCAGCCATGTCGCCATGTCAATCAGAACATTCCTCATTTCCCAAGGTTCATGCTCGCCGGGCCTTGACTGCAGCCAGTCGGCAAAGCGATCTTGGGTAACAGAAGCATCTCCTCGACAAGTACAGGCCGTAAGTGTTGGCGACAAGTTCAGAAACAAATTGAGACTCAGCCAACGGAGCTTGCCTTCCGGAATCGAAGGCTGGACGAAACCAAGGCTGTGATAGGGTTGAGGCTTCATGGATGGCCGGGCTTGACCTTCTCACAAGCCGAAACGGAAGGATCTGTTCCGTCAGCCTAGAATTTTGCCAGCTTTGCTTGTACGTTGGAATACGGAGGACTTCTGATTGTTGTCCCTCAGACCACACATGCGCGAGAACTACCGGCCGTACGAGCTCACTTGCCATTGCTTGGGGTTGATGCAGAAGCAGAAAAGGGACATACCTACCGCCTTGTTGCCTTCGTTGGCTACCAGCCTGACAAACAGCATTATGTTCTCTTTGACAAGGGACGTAGCGAAAATTAAGCGCTGATCTGGAAGCAAGTCAGGGACTAAGTCCTGATGGCAGGAGACTGAATTGTCGCAGTTGACACTCTCCTTCCAACAATTGCTTAACTAGTTGGTGATTGTTGGTGATAGGGCAGTGGAGATGCTTGGTGAGACAGGTAACTCATTTCTGCCGGTGTCATGCATAACTTGGGCAATTTTTCATGGGGTCCACTTGGCACCGGTCGGGGGTTCAATGTGATGAAGTGGCCGCGGCTGATAACAGCGTGCGATGCGTGGCCTTATGAACAATGTCCAAGCACTCTAAAAGCTTTCCCTATTCAACATTCCACTGGCTACGTGCCTTGCCCAGCGCAAACGAAACAAGATGTGCCGTCGCTCCAATTGACAATATTGACTCCTTTGACTCAGTCAGTACTCGAGCCGTCAATGCGAAATATCGGCTGCGTACCTTAGGGCTCAGGTTTTCATCTTGTGTTTGTGAACGGAAAGGATCGACAGCTCTCCGGATACGTACACTTTATGCTACATTCTTTGCCTTGGGCGATCCCCAAAAGGTCGCCTGCAGTCAACGACCAGCTCAAGGATTCCAATGTTCCTGTGAGGTCTCGATGAAATTATGTTGTGATATGTTGTGTGGGCTGGTTGAAAGTTTCTTGTACCGGAGCTCATGCTGCCACCACCACCACCGCCGCCGCCGCCGCCACCACCACCACCACCACCACCCTTGCTCTGGTCACCGAATCCACTCTGGTCCTGCCGAGAGATCCTCCCACAGGTTCTCCACCGTCTGGCTAGCGGAGATGTGGTCCTGCTGGAAAGGCAAGATTCATCAAACAGCCTAAAAGCACGTCATGATCTGAGCATTAGTTGCCATGGCAAGCAGTAGCAACGAGAACACGTCGAGAAGATTACCCTACTTATGTAAGCCGCAACGATTGCGGCTTGTAATCTGGTACACGTCTTCCTTTGCCCAACTCCAACATAACATCTCATCACGGAAGGCGAATGGTCGCGATCAAGAATGCTAACACTGCCGGGGGGGAGGGGGGGCAGGGCTCAAGAACGGAAGGCGCGGTTACAGTAACAACGGTGCAACTCTGAGCAGCATCAATGCAGCATGCTCTTCAAAAAGGTGCAATGCAGCAAACCGAGGCCACCTGACCCCGCACCAGCTTGTGTAGCAGCGTAGCATGCTCAACAAGCCTGTTAAAATGCCTGGCAAAAAACTTGACACGCCAGGGTGGGGTTTGCACGATGCGTTGGCCCTTCGTCCACCTCCCTCGACAGTCGCGTACAGCCCACCTGCAGAATCTCCACAACAGCGTCGTGTCTCAGCAGCAACAGCAGCTTGGCGTGGCCTGACCCAGGTGCCCAAACCACACGAGGTTCAGCAGTTTCAGCGACAACCGGGTCTGGCAGCTGCAGAAAAAAAGCGGAGGGTGGGAGTCGGCAGCTGGGCATTGGCAACTGTTGGTAAATTCGAGAACTAGCATCGACCCAGAAACTAGGAACACCGGATTCCGCAACTGGCAAGCAGGCTTCGGCAGGCTTCGGCAACTGAGAGATTTGGCAACCATCCCGCCACTGGCAAGCGAGGATTCGGCAGCAGGTCAAAATGTGACTGGGCAACAGACAGGATGTCAGAGACTGAGTTTAGGCACACGGAAATGCAGGATCCGGCAATGAACATTCGCCACTTGCAAAAAAAGGGGTCGGTAACTTGGATGCGGATATAGCCACTGTGACTCCGTTCCTTCTGGGAGCGGTTTTAGGTCAAAGGAGTGCAAGGTTGGCAGCCAATTGCTGAATCCCCGTTCTGAAGCGCAGTTGCTGAAATGGATTTTAGCCCCTGACCCGCCCTGTTCTCCTTCTGCATTGACGCTTCAAAGGAGCGAATTTGCCAGCCAACAAGCGATACCCGCAGGCTTGATTGTATAGGATTTGGCTGTTCTCCCAAGAGAGAAAAACAACCACTACCCAGCAGTGATCGAGTTCCACCAACAGTTCTCGCTTGAGACAGATCGTCTTAACACTAGCATGATGTTGTTGCGATCGAACTGGAGGTTGGTACTGGTAATTCGCTCCCCAAAGCTTGGCAGGAGCATCGACAAACACGTATTTGTCACCGTCAAAATGCGGGAACATTGTGGCAACTAAGTTGAGTGTCCTGCATCAATCCTAGTAGTTGCTGCTTGCCTCCAAGCATTTAAGACTTCCAAGTGTGCGCATGCGTTTGCCCGGCCATTCAGGGTGCAAAGCAACATAGGCGTGGTCCTGGGTTGTATGGTTGCGTGTGGTACACCACACTTTATTGGTCTAACCCGCTTTCAAGCCACATGACCGTCCCTAGCAACATGCAAAACTGACGGCTGTGGCCGCAACACGCACACAATGCAATGGGGTCCCGAAAGAGCTGCCAAAGGTATATGAGGCTTGTTTTTCTTGAAGGGACCAAGTTGACGCGTTGGCCTAGAAGCCGACAAACCTTGCCGCCAGAAAGTCAATGCGTTGTCCATCTTCGAACAACGAAGCGGATTTGTATGGTTGCTTTTAAGAACCAAAAAGAGTTTCGACACCCGAGCACCCAGCACCCACCTGCCCCTCCCCAAACCCTCCAAAAAATATAGGACCGCATGTTACTCCGTCAAAGCACCTCAAGCCCCACCCCCCAAGCCCCCCCTGCCCGAGAAGCCTTCTCCTTCCAGCAGGTCCTGGCAGACCTGGTGATGAACATGAACCCCATCCCGCTTCTTGGAGGCCAAAAGAAGCGCTGATAGCATAGCCGTTTTCTGATTTGTTGACACCCGGGCTGGAGGAACCGCCCGCGAACCTTGCAGATGTGCTTCCCAAACAGCGCATATGAGCCAACACAACGGGCATGAGTGTCAAGCGCGCCTGCGCAGCCACCTTGCCCTCTTCTGAGATCCGACGTAGCTCATTGTCCACGTCCTAGAGACAAGAGCCTTTTCATGGCTCAACCTGCCAATGCAAGCAAACACTAGCTCTCGTGACAGCGTCATAGGTGTTGGGCTCAAATGGCCTGCACAAGGAGCATTTCAAGCAATGATCGGGCAGAGCCGGAAGAGGCTCCGAAGGAGTTGGCGAAATTGGAAAGCGCAGGACAAGAGCGTGCACAAGCCTGGAGTCCTGGCAAATGCTGGACAGAATGTATGCCTCTTCAAATTGTGTCTTGTAGGGTACACCCGAGATCGCACTGGCCACCAACATGCCTGACCAGATTTCTCTCTGCAAATCAGCCGGTGTGCCTGTTTGTCCAAGCTGACTGCATGTTTTGCACCAACCTCGAGCATTTTCAGCCCTTCGTTTTCCATTCATCGTTTCATTGTCGCCCAGCTTCAGTCTGCCACCCCACGCAGACCCCTCTCCTGAGACAACCGTACAGCCACGAAGCTCTGCTCCCGCTCCGTGAGCTGCTTGGACAGCCTGGCGTGCACTCGAATCGCAGCGCCATATTTTTTCAGCCGCAGCAAAAGCCAAGGCGACCTTCGACGCGCAAGTTTGCCGATGCCTTACAACCAGCGCAACTGTCAGAAAGATCTCTGAAACTGGACCCTACTTTTGACCACATCGTGCCATACGATCAGGTGGGACTTTCGGATGTCCAGCGCCGCGCATCTCGTCTGTACGCTTGGCTGCCTGAAGGCCAGCCCCCGAGTTCCCCCCGTCTTTTCCCACAGCGGCACCGCCCTTCCTGGCAACGGCTCTCCCACCCGTTGCTTGCCGCAAGCTTGGCCACGGCTGCATGCCCCATTTCCTTTCACGACCAGGAACAAACCAAAGTTTGGTGGCGCTGGTGACGGCCTCACATGCGACTCAGCAATCAACATGGGAGTGACCCTTAAGGTCAGGAGAGAAATCACTTTGAAGGCTGCCAAGGTCTCCAAATGTCTTGGAGAGTCCAAGACCTACAGAGCCCAGGAAGGCGCCCATACCTCCCTAACTTCAGAACGCTCAGTTTGGCTGCAGTGTCAAGTTTGCAGAATGACAGGTGACAAAGCAACGAGCTGTTTTCGCGGGTCCATCAATGAAGATCCATTTAAAGTATGGGCACCCCAGGCAAAAAAAACCGAGGGGCTGAGCAGCAGCGCAAAGGGAACTGGCAGACTACCAAGAATGCTGCGCGCCAAATGCTGCTCACTACAGCTGCGCGCTTCGATTGGATGGCTGCCGTCTCTGTACATTCCGCTCGCTGCCTGGCAAAGTGTGACCAGTGTAAAGTCCCAACCCTCGAAATAGAAATGCAAAAAACACTTACACTGAGTACTTGTGGGGTTAAATAGGGCATGAATAGGTGCTCTGTTTTTGAAAGAGCAGAACATGAACCCGAAAAGATTGCTTGAAGCCAATCATGGGGATCCAGCAGACACACCTGTGAGATCATGTCCGTTGGAAGGCCAAGCTTACGCATCCCTGGCACCATGCACCATCCTTCGTCGAGGCTAAACCTGCGGACGTGGACCCCTCCTCCCAACAAAACGCCCCGTCGGCCCGCATGAGCCCTTTCGAGCGCATCCCCTGCTGTTCCGCGGTACCTGGAAGATGCCCAGTACCAGGCTGAAGCACTCAGGCCACAACCTCCGTCTCCTGCCGAAAGCTGATGCTTTTGACCGTTCCAATGTCTGCCTTCGTAATATGTCAGGCCGCTTCAAATGCTTCAGGCTCAAACCCGCTCGATTGGCTGTTTAGTAGCATTCCTCGGCGGTTTGCTTCCATTCGTCAGCATGTACCCTCTTCAACTCAGCGCCCCTCCTGCGGCTGATCGCGGCTGTGAATCGGGAACCTTGGTCATCAGAGACTAGGGCCTGCGAGCCTGTGACATCCTCTTCCAATCATTACGAAAGCAAACAGGAGCGTGTTCAAAGATGGCGGCAAACTTCAAAGTCATGTCCGTCATCCTGAACCGTGCTGGAGAAAAAGCAATCAAGATGATTCTACAATATCGTGTAAGGACGTACCTTGTCATGGCATGCCTGATGCTGCCAAGGTCAGTCGCATACGCATCCCCGGCAAGAATGTGGATAATCCCCTTTGCGGAGGCAAACAATCCAATCACCTTGAATTAAAGTGGCCTTGTGGCCTAGCCAAGCAAAGAGCCGCCGACTTGCTTGCATTGCTGTTTGCATTGCTGTTTGGTCTGCGACGTGTGCATCTACAGTGAATCTACAGTTCCTCAAGCTCAACTTCAGAACCCGGCAAGCAATTGCTTCACCAAACCGCAGGCAGTGTACTTGCTTGGTTTCCCTCCTGCGTGCAATACATTGATAGAATCTATACAACGCACATGCTCCGTGAAACTCAGTGTCTTTTCCAGCTGTAGCCTCTGCATTCCTGCTAATTCTGGTGAGCCTTGTTTCCTACCTGAAGCCAAGAAAACGTAGCTGTTTTGTTCCAAAACATGCTGCGTGGACACCATGAGCAGTAGAAATGTTGAGAGGGAGATGCATTGCTGAGGGAGCATCTCATGTGAGCTAAGACGCTCAAAAACTGTGAGCCTTTGCTGGTGCCATTGTTGGCCCCAAACTCCTGGCCGGCCTGTCCAGCTGCAAGCTAAAGTTAGATCAGAGTGGCTGTTACATGCTGCGCCTATCCCAGAGCGAGCCTTGGGAAGTTGGCCAAAAGACCCCATCCAGATCCGTGTCGGGCTGCATGCAATCATATCCTACAACACGATTCCTTGAACAGAAAAAAACATACATTCTCTTGACTCTTGAGCATGACACCAGCCGGGGGGGTTCATGTAGTGGGTACAGAGCCCATAGACGGTATCGTGGGGCCAGCTGTCGTCTGCATGCCTAACGCCGGGAGAGTTCGTTTCTCTCCTGTCCTTGTGTTGGTATAAAATGGTAGCGGAATCATACACTCTTCGCACTGTCTATATCCTGGCCCCCTAAACCGTGCCAAGCAGGGTGCTTCATGTCATGATGGCCGTGATGGTCATGATGGCCGTGGTGGTGCCAGTCATGCATGTCCTCCTCCATGTGGTGCTCAAACTCACCATGCTCGCCGTGCCTGGAGTTGCTGGCCGGTCAGCCCAAAAGCCCCTTCAGCATGGAAGCATCAAGCACATTCCGCCAGCAAACTTGCTCGTACTGTGGTCTCTAACTAAAGGAAGCACCTATCAGTCCTACTGCCCCGTTGCCATCAGATACGTCAAACAAGACCACCCAGGATACGGTCAAATCGTAGGAGAGCTCCTGCAACTATGAATCGAACATGCCATGCCCGCATTGCTTGGCTACGACTCTACGCGTGCCTGGCAACATGCATCACTCGCCCTCGTTGGTATGGTAGCTGGGTCAGCCATCGCATACCCAGGAATTGTTCCATAACCATGTTTACGAAGGCCAATTTGGAATTCCGACAAGATTCAGCAGATGATGAGCAAATCACATCTGCAAGGTGCGTACAAGAGATTGCTGATGAGGAGTTCGCCTTGGCCCCAGACCCCTCTTTAGATCATGGATTGCGACTGTAGCTCCGGCTCCGGCTCCAGCAAAGCTCCAACTCATACTTTCACGCAGCTGATACTTTCACGCACGGCCATGTGCATCGTTGTTTTGCCAGTTGCCCAGCTTCCAATGGAGGTCACAGGAACTCTAAGACGAGGGCAGCACCAAGCGTTTACTATCACTCTTACATTGCCTGACCGCGTCTCCGGCGCTCCAGGCCGCAGGGCCCTTCCAAGCATATTCTCCAAACCCTTGCCATACTTGGGGTGCCTCTTCTCTGCTAGGAAACGCTCCAAATCAAACTCTGACGTCGGGGAATATCAACGAGCACGCTTGACCAACGCCCACCCAACGTTGCCTACAAGTTGAAGTCAAAATGACCCGCCGAGGTGCTTCATGCCATGATGGCCGTGATGGTTGTCATGGCCGTGGTGGTGCCAGTCATGCATGTCCTCCTCCATGTGGTGCTCAAACTCACCATGCTCGCCGTGCCTGGAGTTGCTGACCGGTCAGCTCAAAAGCCCATCAGAAAAAGGAAAAAAAGCACATCCCACCAGCGAACTTGCCCGTACTGTCCTCTAACTAAAGAAAGCACGTATCAGCCCTCGTGCCCTGTCGCCGTCAAATGCGTCAAGACGAGACCATCCAGGGTGGTCAAATCGTGGGAGAGATCCTGCAACTAAGAAAATACATGCCGTGTAAAAATGCACGCGGCATATCTGCAGCAGTTGGCAGCGACTCTTCGCATGACTCTGGTGTTTCGCATGGAATGGAAGCTATGAAGGCTTGACTCTACCCTCGTTGGTATGGCAGCTGGGTCAGCCATCATCTACCCAGGAATCGTTCCACATCCCTGCTTACATCACCAAGACAATTTTGCGGGGGGAGGGTGGGGGTGCCAATGTTTCAAATCCCGGCACAAACGAGATTATTGTCTTCTTCTCGCATCTCCATACAGGCTTCAAATGGCTCCAATTGGAATCCAACTTTGAGTGCCCCCACTTCGGGGAATGTTAAAGAAGTAGCAAGCTTGACCAACGCCCACCCAAAGGTGCCTACAAGTTGAAGTCAAAATGACCCGCCAAGGTGCTTCATGCCATGATGGCCGTGATGGTTATCATGGCCGTGGTGGTGCCAGTCATGCATGTCCTCCTCCATGTGGTGCTCAAACTCACCATGCTCGCCGTGCCTGGAGTTGCTGACCGGTCAGCTCAAAAGCCCATCAGAAAAAGAAAAAAAAACACATCCCACCAGCGAACTTGCCCGTACTGTCCTCTAACTAAAGAAAGCACGTATCAGCCCTCGTGCCCTGTCGCCGTCAAATGCGTCAAGACGAGACCATCCAGGGTGGTCAAATCGTGGGGGAGATCGCAGTACTTGGCTGCGACCCTATGCATGCCTGGTGTCATGCATGACAGCTTTGTCAGCCATCAAAAACCCAGGAATCGTTCCACATCCCTGCTTTCAATTTTGCTGGGGGGGAAGGGGGCGGGGATTTCGACCAAATTCAGGAGATGATGAGCAAATCACATCTCCAACTGGGTGTGCAAAAACGATGGCTGATGCTAACTGCATCTTTATAACATCTGACCGCATCTCTGGCATCCTTGCGCACCAATTCCAAGCATGTACTTTCAAAACCTTCAAACTCTGACTTTGCGGATGTCAAAGAAGTAGCAAGCTTGACAAACGCCGACACGAATCAGCCTACAACCCGAAGTCAGACTGACTAGCCAAGGTGCTTCATGCCATGGTGGCCGTGATGGTCATGATGGCCGTGGTGGTGCCAGTCATGCATGTCCTCCTCCATGTGGTTCTTAAACTCACCATGTTCGCCGTGCCTAAAGTTGCTGGTTGGTCAGCTCAAAATCCCCTTCTGCAAAAGATTGGGAACATCAAGCACATGCCAACAGGAAACTTGCCCGTGCTGTCCTCTAAAGAAAGAAAGCACGTATCAGCCCTCATGCCTTGTTG